TTGTCTTTCTCTCGCTTTCATTTACATACACACTCTCTCATATAGTGGTCTCTTTGCTCATCACTACTATTGATCTGACTGTCTCTGTTATTTAAGATTCCCTGAATGCTCATTAATTAAGCCTGTTGAGGAGATCTAGAGAATAATTCCCACCCTCAATATCAATTACTATCAAAATAACCTTTTGAACAGACACACTGTAGCCTAGTTGTCTGCTAATAAAAATCTACAGCACTTTTTTTTTATTAGCAGCTGTACAGATATATCATGTGTTTAATTATAAGTTAAAAAACCTCCCTTGGGAACACTTTATAATAAGTATACAGTAATACAGTATTTACAAATACAGTAATAGACTATATACAAACGGTGAGTTCTTTATTCATTGTCACTGTAATAAACAAATTATTATTGTTTCATTAGCTCATATAAAAAGAGTTAGATAATGCTTTAACAACTTATTAACCATAAATAGTTCTCACTTTAGATTAGGTCACGGAATATCGGAAAATGTCATTAAGTTGGTGCTTTAAGCCAACATTTATTGGACATTAATTGCATTCATATTCAGTGTTCCTTAAAATGTTTACAAATGTGTGTGTGTGTCCGTGTGTGTATGTATTTGTAAACATTTTACATATTGTTAACAAAGCATTATCTAACTCTTTACATATGAGCTAATTAAACAATACCACTTTGTTAATTAGAGTGACAATGAATGAAGTATTAACTACTGTAACTAGTTTATAAACTATTAAAAACTTTAAACTAATAGTTTGCAAATGATTCACAAGTGCTTTGTTACTGTATACTTATTATAAAGTGTTACCCATTCTTTAAATAAAAATAGTTTTTTAACAATTTCCTTCACAAAAATCTAAATATTTTGAGATTTTAATCTGTGTTGATTCTCTGTAGTCAGCTCTCCTGAGTATCTTAAGGATCGCATGCTTAAACACTTGCTTTCCTTGACAAACCAGACACATTGTATTGATTTTCTGGAGATGAGCTGTAGAGTGGTTACAGAGATTTGTTAAAGGATTGTTCAAAAGGATATTGGATGTATGTTGGTCACACGAACAAGTCTGGTTGTGAGTTATTTTAAGATTACATAACATACTGGGCGTGATATGAGGACAGAAAATACAGTAATTTGTGTTTTCAGCCCCTTCCTTTATCTTAAAGTAAACTATTTTCTAAATGCATTTGATTGATCTTATTGTAATGTAATGTAATTTTTTTAATTTCTTTTGACCTAATAAATTGGAATCAAACTAAAAACTAGACTTCTCTCGTAACGTATGCTGGACTTCTCCAATAATTTAGTTTGCTTAAACCCCGCCGCTTTCTTACAACACTACATGCTTACATTAAGCCAATTTGCCTCCATCCAATCAACAATCGATAGATAGAACCAAGTCCCCAGCCCTTTTTTCTTTCTTTTACAAAATATTGTTTCCCTTGAATGTGTGTCACAATATTCCAGCTAACTAAAATATGTTCTAAGAATGTTTTGCTAACGTTCCCATTAAGTTATGAAAATGTTATTTCTGAATGATTGTTGAAAGTACAAATTTTCAAATGTTTTTTCTTGGTTATCCAATTGTTAATGGAACATTCCATTTTGCAAACATTATGGGGTTGTTACTTTTGAATGAAATAAAGTGGTAACATATATAAAATATTAGATGATTGTCCAACCAAAATTTTTCAGAAAGTAAAAACGTTCCATGGACGTTGTATAGATAACGTCTCTGTGCTAACGTTTTGAGAACATTATTAAAGACAGATACCTTTGAGCAAGTGTTCTGTTAACGTAACTGGAAGAAATGTTTGTCCATAATTTCGAGTGAAACTCGCTAGAACATTAGTTCTGAGAACGTTCCCGGTTAGCTGGGATGGAAGAAAAGATCTTATCTCTTATCTCAATCTTGGACACGATAAAAGTAATATTTCAGGATTTAAATGTGTAAATTCAAAGAGATTTAATAAGACATTCATTTGAGTCTGAGCTCAGGGAATCAGTTGTATTTGTTGTCACTCACCTGTCTTCCTGTAGAGCTGAACCTGGTCTTAAATGTTTCTCCAGGGCTGAACTCTTTGACACAGCACACAGTTAAAGGCAGCAATCAGCTCTCTGGAGTGATGAGTGCCACAGCTTTATCGGGCAGCTGTATAGATGTCTATCCCTCATCTTTATGGGGACATTTATGATGGAGGGATTTCTGAGACACTGATCACTCTCCTCTGTATCTCGGTCTATAACCTACAGTTTTGTGTTTTTTTGTGTGCTTTGTTGTTGTTTGTTTACTAAAATAATATGTACTAGTATTATCCTGGAGAATACATTTATATCTAAATCAAATATTTCCAAGTTATGTGGACTAGCTGCTTTCAGTATGTTTGTTGTTGTTGCATAGTCATGTTAGTTTTACTTGTTTGGCAGGAATTGTTTCAGGGGGTTTTGATATATTCGAATGTTCATTAAATATTCATTAACGAGACACTGATTGGCCAGTAAAGTATGCGGGGAGGGAACAGAATAGAATGAGCTCATTGACTTGACAGTAAGGATGTTAATGGAAGCCATTTTCGCTTTGATCTAATAATATCGAACATGCAAGTGTGCACATCTCTCTCTCACAACTGCGACCGAGCTCTGTAGGATTTATCGTGGTGATATTTCCACTATACCTTTCATTTCAGACATTGATCACCCTCAATAACAGCAAACTTTTTTCCACATGTACCTGGTCCAGTGCCAGAGTGATTAAGCTGTTTCTAAGCCGATTAACGAAAGAAGGTCTGAATCAAGAAAATACCTTTGAGATGAAGGAAATGACTTTCCACAGCAGATGTGTTGCTACATTGCCTATTATGTTGCCTATTAAATAGCCTTTTTCAATGGCCCATTATTTTCCTCAATAAAAACACTCACTGGAGCTCGCATACTCCCCTGCACTTCTGAAAGCATATTGAAGGAACGATGAAATCCCCTGTATAAAGTGAAACATTTGATGTCTTAAACACGAACCAGACGGGTTCAGGCTACTTGACGGGGCTTCATGGCAGGTGTGGAGTGGGCCAATTCTGTTTTATAACTGCCACTCTCCTCAGAAAGTCTGCCAGGGAACAAGCCCCCTGCCAGTCGCCTGCCTCTCGCATGCCCTCGGATTACTGAAAGGTCGCGCCCATTATGGAGTTATTGAAAGGCAAAATCATGGCAGAAACCATTAAGGGACCTTCTTTTACGTGACTTCATATACTCTATTATATTCTATTAGAATATAAATTATATTCTATTCCTTTCATATTTAAAACATTCTACATGGATTCCAGAACGTTAGAAACTGATACTGTATGTGGTCTCAAACCTGGTTGGCTGTCTGAATTTTAAATGATGACATTTTGAAAAAGCCATTGCAACCAATACATTTCACGTCAATCAATTACAGATAGAGCCTCGTTCATCTGGCCTCCAGTAATATGACTGTTTACCCCTTCGCATGCAGCTCTGTGAAATGCAAGCCTCTAGTATTGTCTTTTTCGGGCTTCTGACATATTGTCGTAATGTGACAGAAAGCCAGGATGAAATGTGGCATTTTGGAAAGGTCAGTTCATGGCCGTCTAAGAATTCGTCTCCCATCATGATGATGACAGTTGTCATATGAATGTTGGCATGTGCAGTCATCCTATAACTTGGGGGAAAAAACGCTATATCCATATCTTACTGTGGTCAGTAAGGTTTTTTTTTTTTTTTTAAGAAATGAATACTTTTATGTAGAAAGAATGCATTCAATTGATCAAATGTGACAGTAAAGATAAAAATGACAGTAAAAAGACGAAATATTTGTATTTCAAATAAATGCTGTTCGTTTGAACTCACAATCCTGAAAAAAAAAGTATCACGGTTTCCACAAAAATATTAAGCAGCACAACTGTTTTCAAAATTAGTTTTCAACATCAGCATATTAGAATGATTTATTGAAGGGTCATGTGACAGAACAGTGGAGTAATGGTTGCTAATCATTCTGCAGAAATATTATTACAGTTACTTTAATTTGTAATACAGTTTTACAATATTACTGTGTTTTTGATCACATAAATGTAGCTTTGGTGAGCATAAGAGACTTCCTTCAAAAACATTAAAATCTTACCAACCTCAAACTTTCAAATGGTAGTGTAAATTAAACTAGTTAAGGTAAAAAACTTGCAGAATTGTATTTCCCAAAAATAATTGTTACTATATATAACTGTGCTCTATTAACAGTCTTTAGCAATATAGGCTTTTATGATGCAACATAGAATAATAAAATTACAGTAATTAATATAGTAATTTCTTTTGTTTTTAGATTAAGCAGTGTATAGGTGTTTAGATTTTGTTCTGTGTATATTAATTAAGGCAGTGTATCCATGTTAAGGTTTAACATTATCATTTTGGAATTTCTCTGAAATTCCCCCCATGAGAGTCTCTCCATCAGGAGGGCAAAAGACACGCTCATCCCAGAATCAAATCAAATTCCTTTTATCATCTTGTTATTTGCAGACGTTATCTGTGCAGGTAATGTGGTTATAAATTCAATTTGGGCCTTGGGATTTCATTGTTTACTGATGTTGGTTGCCTTTAGGCAGAGATGCAAGCAGTTAGTACTCGTCTGTGAATTTATTTGAGCTGCCGTAGATGAAATTTTAAAAGAGATGGGACTCGCTGGGGGGCCGACTGACACTTTCTCAAGGGCATGGCTCCAAGCAGCGCTTACATGCAGAACCATGTTTTATTCAGATCTGTTTGCTTTCATTTGGCCACTTGTAAGCCTGTGATGGCTTTGCTATGAGACAGGTACTGCTACTTGATGTCTCTGCTGTCAGTTGACTGTATTGATGAGCTTTATTTAGATTAGGCCTACACATCTGCCTGGACTAGATGATTTTTATTATTGAAAAGAATTCTCTTTATTGCTCATTGTAGGTTAATAATGATAAAGCATTTGTCTCTCCAGGTAAAGTGAAGGGCCTGTATGACACTCAGACGCCCATGTGTCCGATCTGTCACGCTGTGCTGCGGCCTGGAGAGCTGCAGGAACACATGGAGCAGGAAATGGAGCGTCTGATGCAGCTCCACAATAGGTACACACTCCACACCTGAAACAGTCTCTTAAATTGTCTTTTTATTTCCTGATTCACAATCATTATTTTTACCCATTTATTTTGATGTGGTTCTTGAATGTATTGTTGCCATGAAACAACACTTATTTATTAGTTTATTTATTAATTCAAACCATATAGAAATAGATCTGATTTTATTTAAAAAAAGATTTTTAAATAGAGCAAGAAAATTAAATTGAGCATCCCAGTGCCCTCCCAATTTGTGTGGTTGTTAAATGTATTTTCTTGCCATAGTCCAAAATCCAATCCATATAAAATTAAATGTATTTATTTATATAAACTATATAGAAACAAATCCATCCATCCATCCATTCACTGGGATAGTGGAGCCTAATATAGAAATAAAGAATTTATTTTATTACTTACTTTTATCTTATTTATAATAAATAAATATTTAAGTAGAGTAAAAAAAAAATTCTCCACCTGCTCTTCTCATGGAAATGGGAAAAATGAAACCTGTCATGTCCCTCTAATGAACATGATACAATCCATATAATGACTGAGACAATCAATAATCTATCAACCTCCCTCTTCTTCGCTCAGGTCTTCTTCTGTTTTTCCATCCGTCCAGCTCAATCAGAGATCATCAGCCGATCAGTCGAGGGTTGATTTGATTTTTTTGAACTGCCTCAGTCTCTTTGTATCAGCCGGGACATGTAGACAGTAAAGTGCCGCTGACAGTCAGCATGCTCTTCTGTCACTCTAACTCAAATCTCATCCAGGCTCATGAAACTGCATCGCCGCCCATAGTAAAGAAATCCAAACTGGAGACCAGAGCCGGAAAGATGGAGGAAGGGCAGATTTAAAGCAGATTGAGACAATGAACACACATACGCACGTCGCACACAAACCCTGTAGCCTGTCCCTTCCAAAGGCACATTAAATGCTTCCAGGTCTTGATGGCATATTTATCTACAGCCTCTGGGCATGTGCACCATGCCTCCACCCCTCTCCCTGTCTCCTCCATCATTGCAACTTCACAAATTACAAGCTGTTACATTGTTCCTGACATTTCACAGCTAGTCAAGCTCAAGGCAGTCCTCGCGAAAATCATAGCAAGCTAATAATGCGTTTCTTCAACGTTTGCTATCAGCATCAGACGAGGCAGGGCGGCACATTAGCCACTCTGAACACATGAAAGATTTCTCCAATAAAGAAATTATAGCCATAATCTGCTTAGTGACAGAGCTGTGGACAGTAATTGTGTCAAATTGAACTTGGCCCCAGGGTGTGTTAGAGCTATCCTGCCGTACAGAACCGGAATGGAGACAGCTTTATAAATATATTATTTTTATTTGACTGCGAAGGAAATGTTGTATGCAACTTGATGCCTCATTTCTGAGCATGTTTGCGTATTCTGATTCACACTTTGTGTTTAAAACAATGCTGAGTTTTGTTGGTAATGGGATTGTGGTGATGAAATATGTGTTAATAACACTCTCTCTTGTTTACAGTCAGGGTCCAGCGCAAAAGGAGTGTCTTGCTGCTGGGCCGCCCAAGGTACATTCTCTCCAATGTACTTCACAACACTTGTTATATACAATTTATTTATCTCTACAGGCAATAATAACCACCCTACCTCTCTCAGTCTTTGTTTTCTATGCACATAAAGAGAGAGGGATCCTCTTCTGCCTCCTCTCCACGTCCTGCTGATGAGGCTGTGCACTCCGACAGGTACCAGGTGAGCACAAAATGCACGTTATATACATGTCTGGCAGCATTGGCTTGCACTTCTCTTGAGGAGCATATTGAACTTTAATTAATTACAGGTCGAATCAAACTCATTTAAGAGTGGACTTTACCCATTCCAAGACTACATGTCAATCAAATGTTTGAGACAGCCCTCAGTGTAGTGCTGCCATCTGCTGGACTTTATTTGAATTTAAAATAATGTTTCTGTTCTGAAAAAAAAGTACATTGGAATTTCATTCTGCTTTTTAAAGACTTTTAGAATTTTGAATATTTCATTTCATTGGGAAAAGTATTATTATGTAATTGATAAGAAATAAAAGCAAATGTATATTTAATTCTAAAATGTAATTCTAATTTTAATTCTAAAATTAATCTAAGTAAGAGTAATCTAAATATACTCTAATAGTAGTGACTAAAACATGAGCTGTAACAAAAACATACAAAAAACTAACAAATTAAATATTGTCCACATTATATTAAAAATTTTTTTTAGGTTTAGTGCAATGACAATATAAAAGCCAATTATTATTTGTCAAACAATGTTGTCCTTACACTTACTATTTTTACCATTTTTGGCACAGTATAAATCTTCATATTTTAGGCTTGCAGAGGATCATCATATTTGGTAGTCCTTAGCATCAAAAAAATTCAAAACACCTGACTTATATAATCATAGGGAATTGAAATGAAATGTTGTTCATAACCTTTTTTTTACTTCCATTACATGACATTTGTGAAACTAAATATTCAATGAGAAAAAATATTGTATCATTCTTTTCAAAAAACTCTTTAGTGTAAATTTAGGTATTGAAATTATGGGTATTAAAGTGTCCCTTTTCTTCCTCTTGTTTAATTTCAGACATTTTTGCGAGTACGAGCAAACAGGCAAACAAGACTCAATGGTACGTTTCCAATGACTGTCAGTTTATCTCAATATTCTCTCTGGATTTCTGTCTTCTTTATCTTGCATTTCAGTCATTGCCTATACATGCAGGGTCATAGACATGCATTAAGAGCTTGGATCTGACCAAATTCATATTTCTCTATATGAATATTAAATAATTTTTAAAAAAATCCAAAAAAGTTTATTCCATAAATAGATGTTTATAATGAAATCATCAATCTTTGAAACTCATTCTCATGATCACAAATCGTCCCCAGATAGCACTGGTACACTTTCAGTCTTAAGGCCCTGACACACCAAGCCGACGGTCGGGCCTTTGTTGAGCGTCGACTGGCCGCACCATCCGCACTAGTCGGAGCCCGTTGGGGGCGTTTTGGCCGATTGAGCATGTTGAATCAGCGTCCGTCGGTGAGAGAGAACTCTGATTGCCTGTTCCGCTTAGCGAGCTGGTCTAAAATGCAAAAGAGAATAATAGCAAAAGTGATGAAAGTGAGCAAAGAAGTCAAGACGGCACAGACAGAAGGCTGGTCTAAATTTACATCATCTTACCTGAGCACTACACTGCGCGAATATTTTCATCATAACATGAACTGTCTGGAATGAAGAAAGTGATCAGTGTGATTGATTTTCAAAATGGTAAACAATCGCTGCTTTATTTACAGTTTGTATGTCTGCAGTCCTACTTTCAGTTTCCCTTTTTGAATGACGAATATGGACTATTGATGCCTGCTGATATAGACAGTTATTTCCTTACACGTAGGCACAGAAGGCACGCATTTAGTCTTTGTATTGTGGTCAAGCGCAGCTTTTTGACCGAGACCCAGCCGACGAGAGGCGACAACACAGTCAGCTTTCATCACCGCTTGTTCTTTTACGTTGGCTTGGTGTGTCACAGCCTTTAGTTCAAAAAGTTAAAGCGCCACCCGACCTTTGACCTAGCACCCTCACAAGCAGAGCAGAATATTGACCTTTAACCTTTTGATATGTTAACAGTTAAGGAGCTCTGCTGGTGCAGGTGCTACGCCAAACAGAAAGTCAAATCTGTTCATGTTTGGACTGACTATGGATTCCCACATGTATCCTCTTGCCCACTGTCTGGTAAGATATTCTCCACACATGCCACACAACTGCCATATTTAAAGAGGCTAATCAGCACTGATTTAAAATAATCTTTCAAGGAGCAAATGATTGTAGAATCATGAAATGGTGAAAATTATATACTATTTAATGCAATATTACACCCTTGGCACAGTAATACTCAGAGTATTAAGTCTTTGTACTGTGAAATATTGGCACTCTATCATGTTGAATTTTTGGTCATTTATCAGGACTGTTAATTTTTATGTTATTTCATTAACATCTAAAAAAGGTGCACTGGAAGATTGGTCAAAGCTAATTGATCAGATTCTCTCTCTAATTAATGATCCTCTCTTCGTTATGGTCAACTTCACTGTGATTGTAACAGGCTCAGCTCTGTTTCCACTGTCCTTTTTGACTATATCATGAGCCGAGGCTCCTAAAGATTAATGTCCCTTAACATCATTAGCAGCTCAGCAAAACAGAGATTTTAATGGAGTGGTGGATACCGTTCCACCATCCTGAATTTTACTTCCTGTGTGTGTGTTCGAGAGTAGGCGATTCAGAGAATTCTGGAAATCTTTTACGTCTTTATTTTATAATCAGATAAACAGATCAGTCCAATTCCCTTGGCATTTATTTATCTTTTGTAGGCCACAGAGGCCTTTCTGTCTTATCAGTTTATGTCAGCTTGAGATCGTATATATTTCCATCATAAAACTGCCAGTGGAGAAAAAAACAAATCAAAAGAATTGATTTATGCTTCATTTTTTCAGATAAGGTAATATGAAAAGTGCCTTTTTTGCTATTGTTTTTTTTTGTTGTTCATTTTCTTTTCTTTTTTTTCATTTTCTTTTCTTTTGTTTTACAGCACGCATTGGGAAACTGAAAAGACGGAAAGCAGAGGAAGACCAGGTGTGATGGAAATGCATAAATTTGTCATTGTGCATGTGCTTATAGGTCTCATTCAAAACAATGAACCTTCCCTCCCCTGTAGTCTGTAGTTCCTCTAGATCTGCTTTCGCTGACAGATCACAGGCTGTTTGTGATATCTGTATTTGACTGACAGGCGGCAGAAGACATGCCGTCAGCTGTCCTGTTCTGTTAAGTCAGCCGTATGATATATAAGACAGGTAGATGTGTCCAGAAGGATCAGACAATCTATATACCTGCATGTGAAATGTCTGTTTCTTTTCATTTTCTTTAGTTTCTTTCAGCTGTGACCTAATGCCAAGAGGGCATTTAGGGCAGGTAGCAGATGAAAGCGGTGTCTTGAGGCTGGTGGAGACATTTTCACCAGACATGCTGATATATGTGTGTGTTTTCAACAGAGAGATGGTGTTTGTGTTGTTGAAAATGGCTCCATGCTGTCAGCCGGGAGGGAGTTTGAATGGGCCGAACAGAGAAGAATACAGATGGTTTCTGTTCTCAGAGGCTTCAGAGGTACAAAACACACAAACGCTGCACAGCAATTGAACTACACACTAAATACTCAAATATCTCAAAAACGTAGTCAGTGGAGTCAAGTCAGTAATATTGATGAATATTAAAGGGGTACTTCACTGCTGGCAAAATAAGCTTTCAATAAAACTTGGTTGCCTATGCAGTACAAAGGTGAACATTTATTTTTAAATCCGTGCTACTTGACTAGAGAAAACAGAGGAAAAAAGGCTGTTGTCTTCCCTTTTGCCAAATAGGTAGGAAAACTTCTACAACCATAATGCACTGGGCATGTTGCTGTCCAAGACCACTCCCACCCGTCTGCTATGAATATGCTTGACCAGGATATACCTTGCTTTAGTAGGAAATACTTCTTAGCAAACGTTTAGTTATAATGGTCTTGACTTGTATTGTGCTAGAATTTGAAGTGTAAATGTTTAGAAGGTGTGAGTTACTTTCAGTTTCCAGTGGAGGAGCCAGCGTGTTGTAGGCAGCGCCTAAAGGCTACAAAGAATTGTAAAAACGGAGAGAACGCTGCAACATAACATCTGAAAAACCTCAGTGTTTGTAGTCAACATTTCAAACTGGATGACCATGAACCGAACACAGTATTTTAGGCCAATAGGAGGGGAAAAACTGAAAAAAGTGACGTTGCGTCAGTTCCAAAAATCTGCACATTTACACTTTAAGTGCTCACTTGGTTTTGCAAAAGAGCTTGTGTGTGTGTGTGTGTGTGTGTGTGTGTGAGAGCGTGATTAATTCACAACAGACACGTGAGGTAATGGGAGTGGTGTTATCCTCTTGAGAATGAGATTACTGTAAAAGAACTTAGCCAGGGGTCAGAGACAGAGGCGATCACAAAGAAATCAGAGGTCATACAGACCCTCACGTCCTTATAAACACTTTTGATTTTATTAACACTTTGCAGTTCATCAGTAGTGCACATTTGTATCTCAAACTATTGTTAAAGTACACACACTCACTCCATTCCTTTGGTACTTGTTCTGTAATAAGGCTTTGTGTTTTCTGTCATTTAATGAACGCTTACAGTGTTTAAATGCCTTAAGGTTTAGTGAGCAGCACATTGAAAGAGCACCAGGATAGCGATGTGGATCTGGACGTGGACGGTGATGATACTTTGGAGTATGGAAAAGCCCAGTATCCTTATTTATGCTGTAAGATTGGCACATCAAGGAAGTGCATTGATTTTTTTTTTTTTTTTTTTTTTTTTTTGTGAAAGCATTTTTGATAATAAAAAATGTTTCCTCAGCAAATGATCGCAGATACACAGAGGCGGATGTGATTCCCTGTTCAGGAAATGAACCCAGAGATGCAGAGGAGAGACAGGCGTTAAGAGGAGCTGTTTTAAAGTATGCACAGACACAAACAGCACACATTTTATTAGTGCTTTCAACTATTTTATCAATACTTAGTTTCTTGTTTGTTTGTTTTTTGCTTTGAAAGTGGAGAGACAGCCAGCAGGTTATCTCCAGAACAAACCAAGTCTGTAAACTCAGGTGAGCCAAGAGTAGTTGATGTCACTCTAATTCAGATCTTTATTGTTTCTGTGCCAGGTGTAAATGCAGCTTAAATGTAGTTCGCTTCTTTTTGGGTGTACTACTACATTTTGGTGGCAGGTGTATTAGCCTGCGGTCACTTTAAGACCTGATTTATGGACCCTTTATACTGTTAAACATGCATTTTCTTTCTCAACTGTTTACGTTCACTTAAAATATCACTGACTGTGTTTACATAAATACTCGCCAACACCGGCATTTTGTCATTATTTTGTGTGTATTTGACTGTTTAAGTGCAATAAGCAGCGAAAAAGAACTCAATTTAGAACTGAGGTGGCTTTATGTGTGCACACTTTGAGTGTGAGCACAAAATCTGCAGGAATGAGTACAATTATACATGCAATCCCACGCTGAAATTCAAGACCAACACCAACAATATTCATCCGGGGCAAATTGAATGAGTAGGTGAGGGGAGGCGGGTTTGCGTGTCAACTCGCTGTCTCAGAGAAGAGAGCAAGAAAGCCAGCTGGTATTGTGCATCTATTCTGCGGAAAATTAGTATTTTAGTATCAATATATAATCGAAAAATCTAACACTACATTGCACTTAGTTTATTATTCCAGATGCCTATTTAAAAGACTACAATTGAAAAATGTATATATGATATGTAAAATTCAAGCCACCAAAGTGGCTAATAGGAATTACTGCGTTACACGCCAATGCGGGTGTTACTGTCAAGCCCTGTTATATACCATGTGTATATATATATATAATAGTGCCAATAAAAAGAAGCTGTATATATCGCATAAATGAAATAAACAATGGTGTTCCTTGTCTGCAGAAGATCCAACTACAAGTAATGGAGACAACAATACAAGCACAACATCTCCAAGAACCTGCAAGAACAGCGAGTTAGAGGTGTAAGTGTACCTTAAAATCTGCATGAAATGAAAATTCACTGTATCTATTTTTTAAATGCATATTATACATCTTATTGTGAACTATTCATCCATGCATGTTTCATTTTTGTATTTTTTTTTACCTTGTAATGTAAATATAACCGCACCTTCCAGTTTAAACTAACAACTTTTCTCTAATGACGTATGCCGGACTTCTCCAGTCTGCTTAAATCCCGCCTGCAAGCTCACATTAATCTGCCTCCGCGTTTGAGTTCAATAGGCACATCTCACAATCCAAACAACAACCACTGCATAGAACCAAGTCCCCATCCTACTTTTTTTTTTTTTCGGCAATCCGTTTCACACAGATGTATGTCACACTCACAATATGAAGAAAAAATCTGTGGCTACTTCAGTTTCATCACGACTTTAATGTACACTTTAAAATGCATTATTTTGGGTATACATCCTAAAATTTTGCTCATTACAGAACACAATAGCAAAGCTATTAAAATGGAAATTGTTTGAAACCAAATAACCAATCCTAATTGATTGAATTGGTATACAAACACTGTTGGAGCTATGGCGTAGTGGTTTGTGTGCACATAGGTTATTATGATTCAAGTGCATCCATCCACTCTCCTCCATCCTCCTCTCTCCCAGCCTCTCCAACATCCATGTCATTTTCTTGGAAGAGATCTCTGCTGGATCATGATACAGCACTTCTTAAATCCTGTTGGGAAAAGAGATTTGAACTTCTTTCTGTGTGCACTGGGACAGATTTTTATACATTACTAATCGTGCAACTGAGGTCAAGTTTACTCATGGAAGGAAGGGACACATGAGAAATTACACATGGTTGACCCATTCAATAAGAGTCACACAAATCAGTTCTTTCTCAGCGGGGTCACATAATGGCGAGTCCACTGAAGCGTGTTTGACGTTTCGGAGTGAATCATTAATCAGCTTGATTGATACATTTATCAGTTGAGGAGTGTCAGATTGCAGGGAAATTATAAAATACTTTTTAATGATTCTAAATGTATTATGTGGCTGTGATTTGTATATATATTTGCATGTTCACCCACAGGTTAGAGATGTTGCTGCATCATCACTATTAAAATAACAAGGCCTCTCTCTCTCTCTCTCTCTCTCTCTCTCTCTCTCTCTCTCTCTCTCTCTCTCTCTCTCTCTCTCTCTCTCTCTCTCTCTCTCTCTCTCTCTCTCTCTCTCTCACTCTCTCTCACACACACACACTATTATATTATATTAAATTTTTTATAGGCCTCTTGCATATTCCATTGTTCCTCATGAATGGCTAGCAACATTTAATCTTATTTGAAATAAATAAATAAATATCTATCTATCTATCTATCTATATATATATATATATATATATATATATAAGTCTGTACTTCTGTAAGATTTCTGGTTTGCAGCATGTTTTTGTACCTGATCCGTCACCACTCTCCAATAGGTATTTAGCCTGAGGACGAGAGCAGTTATTTCATATTTCCACCAGACAGCTACAAGAGAAAAAACAGCATTCATTATGCTTATATTTGGCGGCTATTACATGAGGCATTTTTGATGGATCACTTAAACCCCCTGCTGTCATAGTTCAATTCCTGGGAGCTGATTAAATGGGGATGCGTTGGCCAGGATGTTCCTACCGGGGATTAGGGGGCTCTGAGCGAGTGTTATTTAATTGTGGGGAAGTGGAAACACTCGAGTGAGGAAGGGTTAGTGAGGCGGGAAGGAGGACCGTTCCTGACAAATGACAGCACGCCGCGGGGCGCTTGCAGCCCGGCCCTGTGTGGACACGCTAATAAAGCAATTACACTGAGACAATGTTTGCACACTGCGTTGACATGTCTGTCCCTCACCTGCTGTGCCGCTACAAGGGAGCATCTTATGCTTTTTGTGCCCACACTAAAAGTTATATAATTATATTGTACTTTTAATAGGTCTACAAGTTACCGTACTACAAATATCTGTTGTTTTTGTTTTTACTTTAGTCATTCTTTCTTTTCATTCTAAATTTGGCAAACATTTTTTTACATTTAACATTTACATATGTTGTGTACGCTCTTCATATTTTACTGTCCGATGTGGCAATATAATCTAGAGAAGCGCACACTCATGTATTACAATGTTGAATTTGCTTCTTAATGCGCCTCATTTAATGATGCAATCTGTCTTCTGATTACCGTTCATGTGTAATTTAGAATTCATAACGTTGCCTTCAGCGACAAAGCCCTCAGCACGCTGTGAGTCTCTAATCAATCTCTGATGGATTTGTTCTTTGTTTCGTTTAGCTTATCGGATGACCCCTCCCTCAGTACGCTGGAGGCCCTGAAAACACGGATCAGAGATCTAGAGAAGCAGTTCACACGGGGGGACAGATTCAAGTGTCTCATCTGCATGGTAAGTTTGAGCTTGCTGTTTACATATTTATTTAAAAAGGACTAAAAACATAGTAATAACTAATTGCAGATAAATGTTAATTATATGTATACTTTATATTAATTATTTAAACACTATGGTTCATAAGTTGGCGGTTGTTAAACATTTCTGTCAGGACCACTATCGTCAAATATGATTGACAATTAGCAGTTTGGATTGGCGGTATGGTTCTGTTCTGGGCGAGAACTCCCTGCGCATCCATGCAGCCTAGCATGGATAAGAGCAGGGAGAGCAGCAATAATACCCCCCTTAGGGTAAACAGAACAGAACTAACATGGATGTATTGTAGATTATGTCCATATTTTAATGTACAACATAATTTGAGAATTTAGGCTGATTCAAGGGGAATCAGAATGCCAAATTCTGACTGGGCGAGAGGAGGAGCTGGGGATGGAGGAGGGTAATTAGCTCATGAGAAACACAATAGCTGTTGATAATACTGAAGGAGCTTATATATGTGATAGACACTGTACTGTATTCCTATTGGTAGACGTGGATCAGCTGAGAGTCAGCCAATGCGAGCTTGACTAACGTGACCTGCCAGAACTGACGCTATACGCTTGATTTTTGGTATTTTATGCTCACCAAGGCAGCATTTATTTGACCAAAAATACAGTAAAAACTGTCATATTGGGAAATAGTATTACAATTAAAAATAACGGTTTCATTTTTTTATATTTTACATTTTTATTTATTCCTGTGACAGCAAAGCTGTTTTTTGCAGTCTTTGGTGTCACATGATCCTCCAAAAATCATTTTTTATTATCAATGTTGAAAGCATTGTGCTGCTTAATATTTTTGTGGAAACTGAAACTTTTTCTCAGGATTCTTTGTAAATGTCTCTACTGTCCCTTGCTGAACAAAAGTGTTAATTAAGTGTTTACTCTTACTGACCCCAAACTCTTAAACAGTAGTGTTAGAGTGTGTTTGTGTGTATACAGTATATATATATATATATATATATATATATATATATATATAATTAAAAATATATAGTGTTCAAAATTAAGACAGCTCTTTTATTACGCTAATTAAATGTATATAATAATATAACTTGACATTAAGCTGATGTAGGTTACATTTGTCTTATTTATGTACATTTATTGTGTAAATATATATTTTTCTAAAAAAAATTCAGGACTCCTACACTGTACCTCTGACCTCCATCCAGTGCTGGCATGTCCACTGTGAGGAATGCTGGCTTCGCACCCTGGTGAGATACACAACTGTACTTTCAAAAGATACACATACTGTACAAAAGATTTTCAGCACAACCACATGACTTGAACAAGTGAACCCTGTGTGTCAGTATCAGTTGTTTTTGACTGTTAAATTATCTTCATTGGTCCCTCTTTCTCGCAGGGAGCAAAGAAACTTTGTCCACAGTGCAACACTATCACCTCTCCCGGGGACCTGAGACGAGTGTATTTATGAAGAGTTATAGCTGTCCTGTCATCTGCCTGTTTGCACTCTACTCAAACGAATCACTTTTACTGAGAAGAACCTTTCTGGGCCCATGCAAAACTTAAGAGTACATCTTGCCCAAAAGAGTCATTTAAAAAAGTTCCTGTTGGAATGCAACCCGGTTAAGTAAGGACCACTGTGTTCATTTCTTGATGAAGTGTAAATCTCCACAAATATTGTGCTGTAACAATATTGTAAGGACAGTAAAACTGATCACAAAAAGTTGTTTTTATGTACAAAACCTTGTTTTATAAAATATTGTTAAGTTATTCTCATAGAGCAATCTGTCCTATAGTTTTGTGAATGTTTACACTGAAGAACTCTTTTCTAATTTGGATCTAGCAGTGTTGATATATTAAAAATGGTAAACAATTAACATTTGAATCATTCATAAACTGTGTTTTGTGTAGAATGTGCAAAAGAGCAATGAATCTTGTACATTTATTATCCATAGTTATGTAACTGTTATTTAATAGTGAATGGGATCTTTTAAATATGGTTTAAGATAAATTATCATTTTTTGCTGATACACGTGATATAGTGTAATAGTTTATTTCATGCATTTAAAAAAGATAATTGTGTAAAATCTCAAAGACAAGACACTGAACATGATGCAAAATTACAAAGCCATGGATAAATAAAAATAATTTTTACTACAAGGTTCGGCAACAGATATTCTGAGTTAAGTAAGTTCCCTGTATATTTTCAAAATTTTCTCTTGTTCTTCAACTTTTATCTAAGACGCTGTGTAGATGTAATTGTCTACATTCTTGTAATGAACTACACTGATATTTGTATTGATATATATCGTACTGTATGTACAGCAGAGTTGCATCAAGGAGCTTCCCTGTGTTGAGTTGATTCCTAATGCAGTATATGGACGTTGAGGTTGATCTCTGCTTATCCTTCACTCCTCCCAAATGCCAAGCAGAATAAAGGTCTCCTGACACTGAGTCACTATAGGCTATGACATTAGGACTCAAGGAACTCAGATCAGAACTAACAGAAAAACAGTTTCCTTTGTGGTATTTTAGCAATAGTTTTGTTACTAGACTCTCTAGTCAAGATACAACAGGTAACTGAAAGATTGTAAAGCACTTTTTTGATAGAACTGAAATAGAATGAAATGCAAAATCAGCTTTGTTTTACGATTATGTATTTTGTACAGACTCATCTGTTTTTCTTTGGCAAAAAAAGAAAGAAAACACAATAAACTAAAGTTATTGTCTAACAAATGTCATTGCTGTGCCTGTGCCCTAAAATGGTTTTCAGACTGGATCACATGAGTCAGCACCATCACTAGACCTAATGACAGGATTTGGCAGATGCTTTTATTCAAAGCTATAGTACACACATTGCATTAATACAGTATGTATACATTTTATCAGTTAATGCATATCAAAGCCATTGTGGCATTGCCTGCACTGTTAGAGACACTATAGCAGGTGAGTAACCTCAGCATTTCCTCTTGCCCGCCCTTCAGTCTATTTATCGCATCACAAGTATCTTACCACCTGGCCAGTTCGTTATAGGCATTCTTAAAGATGCCTTTAATGACTGCCCTCATAAAAGGATGTCTGTGGCTGCTGTCCTGACATATCTTTAATTAGCAGCAGTATACGGACACTTGTCTGTGTGGATTTAGGTTAGCATTGGATTAGCCCCGCCATGTGTCTAATGCAAAGGAAGTTACTGCTGCAACACTCTTACAGTGTATTTTACCTCAAAACTCCCTAATGTGACAAAACACGCAAAAAAAAAAAAAAAAAAAAAATCCTTAAGTTGTGGGATGTTTATAAATACTTCCGGCCCCAGCGACCCTAATTAATGAAATGATTTTCGGACGTTTTTCAAGGGATATCTTAGCAGAAATAGCATGACTACTAATGCAGCCATTAGGGAGGAGATTTATGGAGAAATATGCAACTTTATATGACTGTCAACTGTGTGGAAAGCCTTAATCGATTTCTTAAATAATATTTGTAGTTGTCTACGCATTGTATTATATTATGGATAGTTTAATATCAATATTTATATAATATTAATAATAATTAAAAATTGCATTTCGTGTTTTTTAGTTTGATAGATCAGAACTCAATGGTTGGTGAATTTTATTTGTAAAATTCCATATTGTCTTGAAAATATAAGCTATAAGCACACTAAATATTTATCAAGGCTGTGTTAATATAGGCACATTATAGGATTTGACATTGAACATTTTCACCATTATTGCTCAGGAAAAACAAGTGATGATTAATAAACTATTAAAGGCTTTTCAAAGTTTAGTATGATTAGTAAGTAACCCGCTATCATTGTCATAACAACAGATACACAAGACCTGCGATTTGATTGGCTGAGAGTCAACGGAGGAGGTGGTAATTATAGCTGGCAGTAAGCTTTGGCAGTTAGTCAGTTAGAAACACTCACTTGCATAGTCACTTCACATTCTAACCTGCACAGACCAGGTAAGAACAGTTTTTCCTTCTTCTGGTGTTCAAAATTTAGAGGTCAAAATTTACGGTTTATTGTGATGTAAATGAAGGTTTTTAAAAATGCATGAAATATGTTTAATCTGAAAAGAAATACCAGACACACACATGTTATGGATTTCATTATTTATTTTATTTTATTTGCTATTCTTTTATATAATTATTTGTTTTATTATTTAGTTTGCAAAAAATAAAACCATATTCATTTGTATTCATACACTAGTCAAAATATGACATCAAGTCTCAAGGAGGTCCATAACAGGGATTTTTTTTATAGAATAAACAGAGAGCAGAACGACTGTATGTTTATTTTGCGTTTTCCCAGATCAGATTGTGTGTCCAGTTGGTTTGTTTAGTCTCCTGCAGAGTCCCTAAAAAATGGACCGGACATGATTCAGACATTGTAGAAAACATTGAGACAGGCATCAGGTCACTGGGCCTTTGTCATTTGGCTTATGCTGGGTAATCCTCTTCATTGGCCTAACCTGACATCATTAAGACATTTTCATGGTACTTGACATTAACATGTAAATCATGTAAATACTTTGCAAAATTCCATTAAAGACACATTATTTTTAAAATATAGGTTTTTATCTGTTTTGAGCTGCCAACATCATCAACAAATTTGACATTTTTAGAGTTACGTTAAAAACGTAGGCCTACATGCTTCCATTCTGTTTTATAAACTATGCAAAAAAAAAGAAAGAAAAAAAAAGATATAATAATTTTTCTTCGAAAATTGGGAAATTGTCTTGTTCTTTTTTACTTCATCTGTCCTGCTCTCCATTACTAAGGGCCCAGTCCACAGACCTTAAAACAGAATCACTAATCACCCGGATCAGTGGATTAGTTCCTGAGCTTCTCTGTTGGAGACACAGCCGTGCAATAGGCTCAGTGTTTGTCCATGTCAGCTTCTCTAGCTTAGAACTCTCTCTCTCTCTCTCTCTCTCTCTCTCTCTACTGGGCACCAAGAAAAAAGCTTCCTGCTTGACCTAATCCATGTTCAATATACAAGGGTTTTTTTGGGGGTTTTTTTGGATGTGATTTAATAATACAGATTTTTATATACTTTTAAGTATAAATTACTCTTAAACATCTTTTATAGCACTAAATGTCAGATTGTAGCATGCTACAGTATATCTCTAAAACTATACATTTATTGAATTTTGATAATTTCATAGTCACATGTACAGCACAAAATCCTCATTGCAAGTGAACCCATATTTAATGTATTCTATTTTACATTTTCAAATGTAAACATTTACTAGTTTAGGTTTTTGGCGATGAAGATATGTCACGCAACCTGTCCGTGTTGGTGTCTATCTAATTTGGCTGCTTGGTATAGTGACAGATGGAATGCTGACGAAATACAGTAGAGTTCGCCAAAATACTGTATAGAGTCTGACTGGACGAATGACTTTTGATGTCAAAAGATATGGGAAGCATTTCACCTCAGTTGTAAAAGTTGATATGCCTTTTTATTTTGCTGCCCTGTTTATGTAATATTGATAGCATTTAATTACGCTACCATTCAAAAGTTTGGGGTCAGTAAGATTTTTTATTATTTATTAAGTTTGTTTAAATATAATGTATAAAATTACAATATTCTTCTGTTTCAAATAAATGCTGTTCTTTTGAACTTTCTAATCATCAAAGAATCTTGAAATATCAATATCTGGGTTTCCACAAAAACTTTCAACAAATGTTTCTTATTAACCAAATCAGCATATTATAATGATTTCTGAAGGATCATGTGACACTGAAGACTGGAGTAATGATGCTGAAAATTCAGCTTTGCCATTACAGGAATAAATTACATATTGAAATATTTTATTTTGTAATAATATTTCACAATATTACTGTTTTTACTGTATATTTGATCAAACAAATGCAGCCTTGATGAGCATATTTCATATTTCTTGGAGAGACTTATTTAAAAAAATTTACATTTTTTTAAATGTGTATAAAACATAACCCTAGAACAGACTTGCGACTCATTGAAATGATGTGTATTTATTGACCAAAAACCAAGTCAGTGAAAGTTCAGCATATCATACAGTAAGTGGCTTAAAACCATCATGTCACAGATGCATCTGTTTTGATTGTCTCGCAGAGAAATGTCAGGACCCAGGCCTGTAGTTCTGAGCGGTCCATCAGGAGCTGGGAAAAGCACCCTGTTGAAGAGACTCATGAAGGAATATGAAGGGGTTTTTGGATTCAGTGTCTCTCGTATGTATCAGCATCACAAACAGATTATAGACATCAAAAGACAAGTGACGCAGATGCCAAGAATTGTGAATGAATAGTTTAATAACTTGAACTCGCTTTTTTCTGCAGACACCACCAGAAATCCTCGGCCAGGAGAGGAAGATGGAAAAGGTAGGGCAGGATTTCCACTTTACAACCATACTAAAGGCTTGCTTTATCAGTGATGAATTCACATTCATTTCGAAAGGTCCTCTACCCAAAACTGTCTTACTCACACTCCTTTGCTGCTTCTTACTCCCAAGTGAACTGTTTACATTCAATTCCAAACATATCGCCACATTTCACATGGGTTGAAATTCCTCTTTTTATTCCCCAATGTGCCTTTGTTGTTTTCTCTAGGGCTGACTTGTCTCCCAATGCTTCTGGGGGCTACATTACTTCCTGTAGCAGACATCCTATCCTCTGTGACATCTGAAGGTGTAGATTTGTTTTGCATTATCGGTCGTAATTAGTTATCACTGATTATTCACATATTTAATGTGATGAGAGATTAACGGGGGTTACTTTCATCTTTCTCAAATCTAAAACTTTGGAAGTCAATTACATTTTAGGCCAAAATGACAGCTATGATTGTTAACATCACATGAATGCCAGTGTGCACTTTGGAGTAAAAAGCCTTTGAAAATAGCCCCCTGTGTTCCCTAGTGGTTTTCCATGTATTGTGAACTATGACATCACTTCCCCACATACCCAGAGACAAATCATTAGCATCACAACCACACAACTTTCAAATTAATTTTTGGGACAGTCGAACAAGTCTAATTGGTAACCTGGGAAAAAATATTCATACAAAGAAATAATCAACAATATGTATAGCCATTTTAAATCTGTTATAGGTCACTTGGGCAAACTCTGCTCATTTATTTTAATGCAGATCACTTCCCCAGCTATCAGGGAAAATTCTAAGAACTTTTTGGCTAATGTTCTGGCAGGTTTCGCTCAAGTTATGAACCAAAAGTGTTCCAGTAAGGTTAATAGAATATTCGTTCAAAGTTATCTGGTCTTTAATAATGTTAACACAAAAACATTATTTATTCATCATTCATGGAAATCTTTTTTTCTGAAACGTTTTAGTTGGACGTTCATCTAACATTTTTTTAAATGTTACTACTTGTTTCAGAATGTAAAGGAACATTAACGTTTTCATTACTTAATATGAACATTACCAAACCGTTCTTAGTAGGCCCTACTTATTTTTGTTAGCTGGGTCAAAGGATAGACTGAAAAATAACAGATGAAAAATAGCTTAATTCAAAATATATATTATTTGAGACTTTAAGGTGGAGCGGAGATATACGGCATCTAAGATTTTTATGCAACTAACCAACCATTGCTGTTTTTATTTTTTGTGATTCTTATGATGTTTTTCCACAGACAAATGTTGTTATGCTAATGGACATTGCGGTGCTGCCATGGATTATGTCAGTGTTTTGCCCTCCTGTAGCAGTGAATTATTTGTCTTGTGTTGTTGTTGTCTGCAGAATCATTACCGTCCCGCTTTAGATCCCGTCTGATGTGCTGTAGTGGAGTTAAACCACCAGAATGGTACGAATCCAGCAAAATGCAGCACTAGAGCTTTCTCATGGGCTTTACGTGAAGGATTTTGTGTGTGTGATTTTAAAAGGGAAACCAATTGTATTTTAGAAGTTTTACGGTAACACTTCAGAATAATGGTCCGTCATTAATAAATAGCCTATCTATGCAGGAAGTAATACAGGACTAATGAGTAGCCTACTACTACATTAACAGCTACATTAAAGCTTCTACTATTAACTAATATGGAAACAAGCTTAACTCATCATATTAAATTTAGGAGATAGTTCCTTATTAGGTAATCAATATTTACTGAATGAGATTGGCATCATTAAGAGGTAATAGGTAGCCTAACTATGACAAATAATAAAGAATTACTAATTAATTACTAATCACAACATTAATGTGTCTGAGACATTAGCAATTGTCTTCTTTTACTCTCAACATGGTCTTTAAAATAATGGTCCAGATCACTAGTTCCTGCAGAGTCACTAGGTTCACTTGAGGAATAGTGGTGCATTTTATGACTATTTTCAGAGTATTACATATCAGACACACGATAATGTTCTTAATAATTTGTCGGTTGGTTAGCCTAATAGTTATTATTGAGGCTAATCTCATTAAGTAATTATTGATTACCAAATAAGGAACTAAATTTGATATTAGGCTCCTTACTGATGAGTTATGCTTGTTGTTTCTATATTAATTAATAGTAGAAGCTGAAGTGTTAATGTAGTACTACTTATTAGTCCTGCAATACTTCCTGTATAGTTACTTATTAATGACAGACCATTATTCTAAAGTGTTACCAGTTTTACTCCCACCATTTTGTAAGATATACAGAACGGAGATTCTGAAATAAACATTTGTCGCCCCCTGCTGACCATAATAGAATATTGTTGTTTAGCTGTGAAAGACTTCAGAATTGTTCGTTTTACTTCATCCAAAAATGAAAATTCTGTTATCATTTAGTCACCCTCTGAAAGTTTTTTCTTCCAAATATTTATTTTAATAGTTTGCTAGTACTTGATCATTTAAAATAGCCTATGTCAAATAAAACTTTCAGGTCATTTGATAAACAACAGACTGACTGATAATACTCTGAAGTGATATCTAAACCATAATTTGGTTGGTTTTACAATTAATCTTCACTAATTTCTGCCCTCAACCCAGATTACCACTTTGTCACCAGAGAGAACATGCAAGAGGGAATCGACAAGGGCGAGTTCATTGAGAATGCAGAGTTTTCTGGGAATATGTATGGAACCAGGTAGACTACATTTTATCTCGGAAATTGTCATCTGACATCTGATCCTTGTGAAACAATTAAATGTAATTGCTCATCAAATGTATTGTCACTTGCAGCAAATCATCCATAGAGGACGTTCAGGCACAAAACCTCATCTGCATCTTGGATGTTGACATACAAGGGGTACAAAACATCAAGAAGACTGATCTAAACCCCATTTATATCTCCATTCAGCCACCTTCAATGGAGATCCTGGTGAGCTGATAAAAGATCTCAGTTTTATACAGCTTTTAAATGGTCATAAAATACAGGAAGATGGTTCAGAGTATATTTTTGTACAGGAAAAGCGTCTGAGGGACAGACAAACCGAGACAGAGGAAAGTCTACAGAAGCGTCTGGAGGCCGCGAGGATTGACATGGAGCTCAGTAAGTGACTCTCTCAGTAAATCAGCTATGCTTGTGAGAAGACATTTATTCCCTTGTCATTTTCTCCTTTGCAGGTAAGGAACCTGGAGTTTTTGATATTGTAATCATTAATGATGACCTGGAAGGAGCCTATGAGAAGCTCAAAAGTGTTCTTGTTGAGGTAAAACTATTTCATCTCTGTAAAAACAATTGTGTTGACAATGACATGCATGATTTTTATTATTTAATAAATAAATAAACAATGAATTGTTGATTTTTTTCCAACAGGAAATTCAGAAGGTGCAAGATGCCAAGAAATAGGAAAGGATATACGGGACTTTTCACGTTTTTTCCCGTCAACACAGGACATGAAGCCTTTTTTTCCAGCCTTGTACAGTGTATATAGCCTAGTACAAGTGTTGGTTCTCATGTTAGACTCTAAAAAGTCGATTGGCCTAAAGGGTTAAACATCTCAGTCTCAGTTGAGGACTCATCTCTATAAACTGTGTGAGAATGTGCACTGTAAACCCCAATGTTATCATTAATAAAGAAATCAAGTTATCATAACTTAACATTACTTACAATAGCAAGTTTTTGCATCAAAAATGAAACAGTTGTGTTTAATGTACTCATTTGGCAGCAACAGTCTTTCAGATTAAGATTTTAAGTGTTATGAACTCAAAATTTCAAGTTATTTAAATGATTCACTATGTGTCGGTTTAATATGATTGGCCGTGCCTGAAATTCTGCCTTGACAACACGCTGATTGGTCGATACACAAGGCAGTATTTTTTTTGTTCATCGTGAATTTGTTGATGCAGGCAGCAGGCCAGAGGGACTGACTGACACTGCATAAAACAGTCATTTAGGGGTTAAATCGGTCCTGTCCATCACGTACAGACATTTCAGGCCTCGCATTTGGATCAAGACTTTCAATTCCTGACGCCTGTAAATGGAATCTTTTTTTAATCGACGACTGTCTCGAGTCTCGACTCTCGAGCCTGTTCTCCCCCCTCCCCCGCAGCAGCCCCTGACTCACTGTAGTTCTTCTTGCGCGCGCAGAGCGTCCGGTATTTTCTGAGGCTGAGAAAACGTATGGTAAGTGTGAATTCATAAAACTATTTTAAATAACATGTTTGCCAGAACATAACATCACAATTTGTTCAATGTTGTAACAGTTTTTTTAAACTGTATTTTCTAGCCCGACGTTGTTTTCGAGCCGTTTATTCCCGCCCTGCTCCATTCAAATCTTGCGCGCTGACAGCGCCCGGTATTTTCTGTGAGATTTACATCAGACTAAGGTAAGTGTGAATTAATAAAATCATTGTATAATGTTTACCATAACACAACGGCAAAGTTTTTCAATGTCATATTTTTTTCTGAACTGTATTTTAGCCCATTGCCTTCAGTTACTGCGTGCACTGACAGCGTCCTGTTTTTCCTTTCCAGACATTTATATCAGACGAAGGTAAGTGCAAATAAAAACTTTTTCATAAAACCTTTTTAAATAGAGTATTTAACAAAAACATAAGATTGAGTGTTGTTGATTTAAATTGAGTGCGTTTATGTTTGAGTTGTTAACGTATTCTCCTTTGACAAATCAGCAGACACTTTCTTCTCAACTGTCCTCAGAGGCTTCAGAAACAGTAACTCACTGAAGGAAGAACTGCAGCTGACTTGATTCATGTGAGGCAAACAAGTTTTTTAGCAACATACTTAAAATGATATCATAATTGTTGAAGTGCAGTGTAAATTTCACTCCTTTTGTTTGTTTCAATGTTCTAGTAAGTGTAGAAATCTACCATGTACTTAGTTTTATTATGATGTAATTTACTGTGTATATATATATGATTGTTTTTAGGCCAGGTGGTAAACGCTGCCATTCTTCACGAATAGGCTACTGCTGCTCTTCAAAGATCTGAGTCATCAATAAGGTAAAGCACACAGAAAGATTTTTTGTTTGAATACAATTCAGTTTCCCAAGTTATCTTGTATTTTATTTAGTTACTGAAACGGCAAGAAAGCACTTTGACTTGCTTTGATTATTTCCATTCTTGTTGCTGTCCAACTAGCAACATTCCTTTGTATTGTTACATTTTTATTATTATATCACTCTAACCTGTGCTTAAACAATGAGTACTGTACGATGTATTAAAAGAAAATGCGTCTTAATTATTTTTTTTATTTTAATCACAGGATCCTTCGATCCCTGCCCCAACCATTCATCTAAAGGACTGCGCAATGAGACCCTTTGGACCAACAGTGGCAGTTTACCCAGGATGAGATCTCGCTGATGTTAGCCTGCAGTACTGACACATTTTTTGGTTTTCCAGCATATTTTGAAATTTTTAACCCATTCTAAAAGTGACTGTATGATGTTGAGATCTATCTATTGACACCGAGGACAACTGAGGGACACACACAACTATTACAAAGGGTGAAAGATAAGTAGATGACAATATTTACAATAACAGACAATGTCTGTTGTTGTTCATTACACTGTGTTTTTAATTGTTCTGGTCAATTGTTCTGATCTGGTCAATTTCACTTTTCAATTAAAATTTTTAATCAATTGATTTAATTTACTGCAAGTATTGTAATTGTATTTTTTACTGATTAAATGTTAATATACAATGTTCAGTCAGTATGCATTATAGAAGTTAAGATATGTAATGTAAGCCTAATAAAGCTGTTGTGAAAAACAAAACTTGGTTTAATGATTTATAATTTATTTAAAATGTATTTAATAATAACTAAACAACAAAATATAACCTGGAAAATTTGAGTTTACTCCATTTGCCTTTTAAGTTATCTTTACTTAAACATTTAAGTTAATTCAATGAGAAGACCACATTAGGTCAACTCAATTAATTAAGTTTGAATTTTCCCATTACTCAAAAAAACTTACGCAACCACTTTCCTCAAATCATTTGAGTAGTCTCAACTTATTAGGGTTTACAGTGTGTGCACCTTGTATAACGGAGAGAGAAAAACTGTGTGGTAACCCAAAATGAGTTGAGTAAGCGTATTGATGACAATAGTTTGTTTATCATCAGCATGTTAGTTCTATAATAGAAAAATGATTGTTTTTCAATAGCCTATTTGTGATTTTTTTGTAGAGAGCAAAACTACAGCATGTTTGACTCTCAGGTAACAGGTTTAAATGTAGCCTATTCTGTTGAATGGTTAGTTTGAGTTGCACCTCCATGTTTATAAATTTGTGTTGAATATAAAATTATGTAATTTTTGGTTTAGCTAAAATAAAATATTAGAAAATAAAACTAAAACTACATTTAAACATTTCTCCATTATCTTTTTTTTCTTTTTCTCGTTTCCCCTCTGATTAAATAGAAATAAGAAATAAAGTAAATAATCTCTTCATTGATTTTGTTATAAACATGAATCACATTTTCACACCTCTGACCTCGAATGTGCCCAAACGGACACCGTAAATGTCAGCAACCATGGAAACCGCAAACATCTGCGGAAGTGAAGGTGAGTTTGGTTTTATCCATAGACAGTAAAAGAGGTTTTATCATAGGTACATTCAGGTTGATTGGGACACTTTTTGTTGTCTCTCAATGGCAAAAAGTGTCCCAAACACCCTAAATTCACCTTATATGTAGGCTAAATTATGTCTATGGGTTTCATGGTGTTCTAAATACGCTGTTACCTGGTAAACAAAACATAAAACTGTTAAGATTTGTATACTAAAGTAACGAATTTAATTATCTTTTTCTGAGTGTGCGTTAACGTTAAGTTACAGCAAATGGGAAACAACCACAATCCGACGAAAGCTGTTTTATTACCGTAAACAAAACATTTATAGCCTACTGGCAAATTAATTACATTCGCGTTTTCTAACTAACGTTATTTATAATGGAGAAATTGACAATATGCGGTAACTGAGTTTTTTGGTGTAATTCTTCGTTTAGTGTCCGTTCTATGTTCAGACATTACATGAGCTTAATAGACATTGTAGGCATAAAATGTACAGGCTTCTTACTGTGTTTTTGGGGAGACTGGGATCACAAACGGGCCTAATCCATAATACTTATTTGGGGGGTAACGTTACCCTACAAGTTGTCGCATTTTTTATGTATTGTGATTGTATTAATCTAAATCTATTAAATATAGGCTATCTAAAATTTATGTTACAAATCTATTAATTATAATTTCCAAAAGTACAAATATGTTTACATTAGCTCATGTTTTTCATCGTTCTCCACAGTCTGTGAAATGCTTGAGTCATGTCTAGCAGTAAAGAGCAGACATCCATCAGTCAGGTGATGTGTTTCCTCCATGAGTGGGACCAGGGCAGTAAGACGGTGCGTAGTCGAATGCTGAGGGACTTTCTGGCCAAGAACACAGGAAAGACATGCCCTGAACTGGAGCTTGAGTTTGCTCAAGTTGCCAGCCTGTTCCTTGCTCGGCTCACTGCCTGGATAAGACTAAGGTATCCACGCATATGGTCATGCTTAACCCATCTGTGCTCCTGAATCTCAGACTAAAACTTTCAGTCATGCCATATGCATCCTTAATTTTTTGGTTTCCAGCTACATGTTTGGATCGTGTCTAGACCTTCAGCTGAGAGCATTGGGTGTTTTCCTCTCTGCCAATAGCAGGTAAAAGACTAATATAATGTAAGTACTAGAGGTTAAATATGCAAAGTCAAAAAATCAAAAATCCCACAATAAACTGTATATTACATCACTGTACCTTACACAATAAAAAGCTCAGCTTTAGCAGTAAACCTTCAAAACAAGAGAAAAATAATGCAGAATGACAGCTTTTCAGTAAATAAAAGCAAATACACAAGCACCAGAAAACAGAAACGCTTTCTATCCTAACATGGTATCCTTTTGTTTGTTTGCACAATCAGTCATCAGTACATGATTGAGTTTCTGGAGGTGGGTGGAGTGCTGACCCTGCTTGAGATTCTCGGGCAAGACAAACTCAAAGAAGAGGATAAGACAGAGGCTCTTCACCTGCTCCAGATCATCGCCAACTCGGGCCAAAAATATAAAGAGCTTATCTGTGAAAGCTACGGTACTCACACTGCACAAACGCTCAACAAACTAACAATCAAAAAGTGAAACAGTTCTAGCTCATTTTTCATTCCTGACATTTTAAGGAATGAGAGTTTGCAGCATTTCCATAAAATATTCTGAGGTTGAAAAACCTTGGATGATCCAATCTGTATATGTTTTGAAGGTTGGGGATTTTGACAGGCAAGTTCTGACACACACTCACATTCTCACATCTGTTCTTCTCTCATTGACAGGTGTGAAGGCTGTAGCTGAATGTTTGGCCAAGTCTGAGATGGAGGGGACTCAGGGGACCGCCGCCGCCCTGCTAGAGTCTTTGGCCCATGGAAACCCCAAATACCAGAATCAGGTGTACAAGGGCCTGATCGCCCTGCTGGCCTGCACCTTACCAAGAGCACAGCAGCTTGTTTTACAGATTCTACGTATAGTTCAGGTACAACAGTGTCGCAGGATGGCAATCAACATCAGAGGAATTGTTTTAATTGTAAAAAAAATAAAAAAATACTATTGTATATTATGTATTTATAGTAGTGGCCAAAAGTGATGTCCAGAGGGGCTATTTGTTTTTAATACAAGATATTTATCTGACAAAATGATTTTGCAAAAAAAAGCTACAGCTTTTATTTTACTATGCAAAAAAATAATGCATAGAAAAACAAAAAGCTCACAGGAAAAATCATACAGGTACATTGACTACAACATAATAAGTTATTAATAATTTGTTGGTTCTCTCTTGTTTTTGCAAGTTCATAATTGACCATTTGGACAATAAAGATGCTAGCACAATTTGGCATGTTTCATTGCGTTATCACTAATAAACAATTGATTCCAAACACTAAGCAATATGCTTATAAAATCTTTAACACTTTTTAAAATGATATTGGATTAAAAGGTTAAAATGTCAATTTTCCTAGACCATACATCACTTTTCGTCACTACTGTGTTTGTGTAACATTATCTTTTTTATTAAACATCAATATTTAAATTAACATTAATATGTTAAAAGTATACATTGTATGGGCTATAACTGATCACTATTTTCTATCACCTATTAGCTTTTTTACAGCTCACTTTAATCATCCTGTTGTGTGACAAATTAATTTGTAAAAGTACAAATATTTGAAATAGTCTTACTAATAGTAGATGAGCTCATGAAAACTGCATTTATGATAAATAAATATATACTCTAAGAACTAGAAAAATAAAATGGTTTTAAAATAGTTTTAGATCATATACTGCATATGGGGATGTCATGCATGAAATGTCAGCATATAATTTTTGTTTTGTTTTCGTGCAGCCCATTATAAAAACAGCCCATCATAGCATAGTGGAACCCTTACTGAATCTGCTGAGGTCCCTGCATTTAGAAGTACAATATGAAGGCAAGTGTACATTTCAAATTTGGCATTGTTGTCTACCCTTCTGTGAAGCTCACTGGTTCATTTTCACTTTTATTTAACTTCCAGCCATAGAACTGATAACAGAGCTCATGCAATCAGAAGTTAGACCAGCTCTGCTCAGGGGTCTGGTGGCTTTTCTCAACCCAGCTAAAGAGAGAAACCCCAAACACAAGATTCTGGATGGTATGATCTGTTGCTCATTTTCTCTTAAATAAAGCAAGGCATAAACGTTGTGTAACTGCCAGGGTATTTGTTGTTTGCAACTGAAACAGTGGTTCCCCAATAACAATACTGCTTTGAATTATGACCACATTGCTTTGCAGCGTGGAGACATCATGAATTTAACCTCTCAATTCTTACCTTTTGGGCTTTGTAAATTTATTTGGAGCACATGCAGACGAGATGAGAAACAAACATGGATTGTGTCTTGAATTAACATCTTTCACTGTTGTTGATTTGTCTGTCATGAGAGTCATAAATCTGAGAGTCCAGTGTTGTATTTGAGATTCAGCTGAAACAGTTTGAGTGTTTTGTTAGATACAGAGGTGGCCAAAATGACGGATTCGCTCCCTGTGCTCCTCCTGCAAGCAGCTTCTGCAAAAACCATCAGGTAAAATCAGTGACTTTAAACAATGGATACATTCAAGACAAACAGCATGCAAAATATTATATAAGACATGCTGATCTGTGTGTTTATTAGGTATGGTATATTGACACAATGTTACAGGATTCTGGCACAGAGAAGTGAGGAGATATCTAAAGAACTCCTCTCTCTCAGAGTGATCCATCACTTACTGTATGCAATGGGTAACCAGGAACATGCAGATGCCCAGAGACAAGCCAGCCTGGCTTTGGAGGTACAATTAAAACATCCTCACTCACTCTCTGTCACTCACTCACTCACTCACTCACTCACTCACTCACTCACTCACTCACTCACTCACTCACTCACTCACTCACTCACTCACTCACTCACTCACTCACTCACTCACTCACTCACTCACTCACAAATGTTCATTCTGCATCAGGCATAAGTAAATGCAGTATTGGGCAAGAAAATGATATTAATGTGTAATGTCTGTTTAGCATTTTGTGCGCATGTATCCAGTGGTGGAAGAGCATGTACGCAGAGGAATGGGCAGCACACTGTTTGAGTCTTTTATGGTGAGGTCATTTCCTGTTTTGCTGATTCACACACACACGCACACACACACACACACACACACACACACACACACACACACACACACACACACACACACACACACACACACACACACACACACACACACACACACACACACACACACACACACACACACACATTGGGTTTTCTTTTTTTATGGGGACATTCCATTGACATAAGGGATAATCCACAGCTAGCTGTGCATCAAACAATTGTAATGCACAACGTGGAGGCAAAGAACCACCCGACGTGAAGCTAGCCATGGATTATCCCGGTTATACCATGGTCATTTGCCAACATTGACAACTTAAAGCTGTTATTGATGTTTTCAGCACAAAATTTGACCGGAAGGTTAAAAAATACGTTTTTTTTCATCAGTTACGGCTCGTTAGATCTAGCATTCTGCCTGCTTTGAATCAGACACAGAGATCAAGTAGTGCTTAACATTACAGAGAGAGATGTGCGTGTGAATTACAGTACCTGTGTCTGTGCAGCATCGAAGCTGTGAGTTTAATGTGGGTTTAATTCCTTTTAAAACAGCGCTGTTACCTCCCCGTTGCTGAGAAATACAATGTAGCAAATCAGTAGCAAAGCTTTTTTGTTAATAAAAGAAGCGGGATAGACTTGATAAGTTTCTGTGCTCCTGAATGTTTCTCCGTTTGTGTGAGTGACGCATGTGTGCAACTGAACATCAATAAAAGGTGATTAAACTGGCTTGGAACTATCTGTGCATTAAATGGTTTTATTTCACACCTTACAGTCAATCAGAATCAAGTATTCAGACAGACCACGGTATAATGATTTTTATACTGTACAAACTGTACATTATATCCCCTAACCCTACCGCTAGTCACTTTAAACTTTCTGCATTTTTACATTCTCAAAAACATAATAAGCTATTTTCCTCATGGAGAAATTTAAATATAAATATGCCGTTTGCGTTTTCACTTAAAGAACAGTGTGTGTTTTTCTTCATATTGTTTACAGCACAATGCTGATGAACTGCATTTAAGCATGGATGATATTCAAGCTGACATTTTACGATCAAATAAAGTAAACATTTCATGTGGTGAGTTGATAAATCTCAAGATCGAGAGAGAGAAAGCCAGGTTGTATGCTTTTTCATTATTTGAATTGATGCTTAATTTCGACCATTGAAAATGATTGTGTATCACAATGTCCTTTCATTTTCCCCTTATTTTTCTGCAGTGCTTGAGGAACAGATTTCAGATTCTTGAACACTGCTTAAAACAAGCTTCAAAATAAGAGCAAAATTATTTGTGGTATTTTGTTGTTGATGATGGTGTTTTTATACATATAATAATAAAAGTGGTCACAAAGATATAGTGAACAGTCTTCTGTATTTCTTTGGTTCACTTCAATATGGTTCATTACAAAACGTTTTAAATTATATATCAAAAAAGATTTCAATGGCTATGTGATATAAGCATAATAAAGTATGCAAATGATAATATTCAAATTAATAAGATACTATATGCATGTTATAAGTCAGGGTTGAAATATGTATGTAATCAGTATGTAACAGGGGGTGCCTGCTCTGTCTTTGGGTTCTTCCAAGGCCTGAAAAGGTTGAAGATTCATTATTCAGTCAGAACACTTACAGGCTTTTGACCACGCAAACATTTTTTAAATATGCAGTGACGAGGCGTTCCAATGTCAACTATTGGTTCAAACACGCCCCGCCCTTCAGGAAGTGAAACAGAAGGCGGGAACGGTACTGCTGCATGTTGTGAAAGATTGCGTCCCTTTCTTAGTTACTGTCAGCAGTATGTTATAATGTGTGATAAAACAATTTCTTTAACACACTGATGTTTTTTCCCCGACTGATGTACTTGTTTCAGTTTGTGCTTGATCTTAATCTGAAGTTTTAAGTAGTGAAAGATTGGTTCAGCGCTATGAGCAGGTTAAGATCAGCAGTGCAGAAGGGGAAGACAGCGGCTCTAGAAAATACAGATGTGGTCAAATCCAGCATTAAGAAGAAATCAAAGCATGCCATTAAAGAAGGTGAGTGGCTCTCTTTGTGCTACTGAGAGACACGACTTCAAGGCAGCTCCATGTTTGCCTTTAAAATGTTATAATGTTTGAGTGTTTCTTGATTTCTTATTCCCATCAGAGGAACCATCTGAAACTGAACCTTCATCATACCACTTTTTCCATGATCCATCTGAAATCTCTCTTTTCCGCTCTCACCTTCTGCAGTGGTATGATCAAAATAAGAGAGAGCTTCCCTGGAGAACATTGGTAAAGGCATCTAATATTGTTAATGATCAAATAACACAATCTAACACTTTGTACATCATTTTTGACCATATACCTGTACATTTAAAGGGCCCATTTAATGTACAGCTACCTGCACTCAAGATTTTTATTTATTTATTTAACTGCAGAAAAAAAGATTATAGGCCTAAAAATAAATATATTACATATCTGTGAATTGTCTATAAAACCATGTATATTGTTTAGTTAAAGTTGAATTATTAAATTCAACATTTTCAACAAAACGTTGGCTGCATTAGTTGTGTCAGTGGCTTAACTAATGCTTCAAAATGAAGGAAATACCATTACAAACACTATTACAAAATGTTCAGAATTGTTTAATTGCATTTAAACATTCTAACCTTTTCTTGACCTGTTTATAAAAAGGAGCAGGAAAACATTGAAATTTCATGTGGATTTTTTCCTAATTGTTGTTCTTATGCTGTAATACAGGCTTTGACAGAACCAGATGTTAATATCAGGACATATGCAGGTATGAAACAAAGGGTTTTAATGTCATGATAATCATAACCTAAATACTTTTTTATTGTTAAATCATTAATTCGTTTTTTTTCTTTCTCATGCCGTTCTCAGTGTGGGTCTCAGAGATCATGTTACAACAGACTCAAGTTGCCACAGTGATAGACTACTATAACAGATGGATGAAGGTAGACAAGCTCCTTAGGTGTGATTTCTCCTCTCACAGCTGCCACACATATTTATGCTGTTTCTACGTCTTTATTTTTTAGAGATGGGCGACTGTGGAAAAACTTGCTGCAGCTACACTGGAGGTGATAGTTAAATCTATAGACGTACACAAAATAAACAGGAGACGACATAGTGAGCATCTGACAGTTTGCGTTGTTGTCTCCCTCCAGGAAGTGAACCAAATGTGGGCTGGTCTTGGATACTACTCTCGAGGACGCAGGCTGCATGAAGGCGCTCAGAAAGTAGGTTTAAACGTAGTAATGTAGAATCTAGATAAGATTTAGATGTTTGCCTTTTTATATTTATGTAATCTGCACATATTATAAAGAAATTTTATGCATGATTCTTTAAAATAGGTGGTGTCAGAACTGAATGGACAGATGCCAAAGACCACAGCAGGACTACTGAAACAGTTGCCTGGGGTCGGTCGTTACACCGCCGGGGCGATCGGTTCTATAGCACTTGGACAGGTAACTGTTTTTTATTGATGCATCTGATTTGGACCACTTTCAAATGTGGTTCTTTATTTATTTACTTGCGTGATCAACTGAAATCTTTTGTTGCAGCACTGTATTGCCAGGGTATTAAACACTGATATTTAGCTGTAAATGATGTTTGTTCCAACGGTGTTTGTTGTTCTCCAGGTGACGGGTGCAGTTGATGGAAATGTCATTCGAGTTCTGTGTCGCGTTCGAGCCATAGGAGCGGACAGCAGCAGTCCCACTGTAACAGATGCTTTATGGTACTGTATTTATTGTTAATAAAATTTAGGTCTAAGTTGTAAAATGTTGGATTTAATTGTGATGATTATTGGCCTATTTCAGGAAAATTGCTGATACACTTGTTGACCGAGAGAGACCTGGAGATTTTAATCAGGCTATGATGGAGTTAGGGGCCAGAGTCTGCACCCCAAAATCCCCTTTCTGCAGCCAGTGTCCCATTCAGTCCCACTGTCATGTATTTAGGAAGGTACTGCTGAACAGCTGTCACCAATATACATTCACCGGCCACTTTATTAGGTACACCTAGTTGTACCAGGTTGGACTACCTTTTGCCTTTAGAACTGCCTTAAAGTCGGCATGAAATCAAATTTGACAAATCTTCTTTTTACATGTAATATTGTAGTGTTTATTATAAATGATTTATCTGTGCACTTCATTATTTTTTTTAAATTCATGTACCCTTATAATCTTTAATCAAATACATTACCCTTCCCTCCCCCCTCGAAACGACCTCTCTTCTCTTTCGGTCACGTGCCATGGCGAAAGGGTGCGGCCAGAGCCGATGAGGGTGCGGCTATCGGTGCACCGCCTCTCAGAGAACCTGCTCGTATAAATTTGGGCTGATTCCTGCCTGAAAATTTAGCTGCTCGTCCTCGTTCTCGTCCTTCATGGGAGGGTAACGGTGGGGAGTCCGGTGGAGAGAAATCCTCCTCAACTGAATGTAAACTGGCATTCAAATCTGCCTCCATTTTGTTTGCAACGCCCAACCTCCAACGATCCAATCAATTCCCGAAGGACGAAATCAAGCCCCGCCCTACATCTTTTTCTAATTTCAGAAGCCGTTTCACTCGGATATATGTCACAACAAGGAAAAAATGACAATCTCAACTTCCGTTTCATGCCGACTTTAATTCTTCATGGCATAGATTCAACAAGGTGATGGAAACATTCCTCAGAGATTTCAGTCCATATTGACATGCTAGCATCACACATTTGCTGCAGATATGTCAGCTGCACATCCATGATGTGAATCTCCCGTTCAGCCACATCCCAAAGGTGCTCTATTGGATTGAGATCTGGTGACTGTGGAGGCCATTTTGAGTATAGTGACTCATTGGCATGTTCAAAAAAACAGTTTAAGATGATTTGAGCTTTGAGACATGACACGTTATCCTGCTGGAAGTAGCTATCAGAAGATGGGTACACTGTTCATAAAGGGATGGACATGGTCTGCAACAATACTGTACTAAGTACTAAGGGGCCCAAAGAGTGCCAAGAAAATATCTCTCACACCATTACACCACTAGCACCCTGAACCGTTGATACACGACAGGATGGATTCATGCTTTTATGTTGTTTATGTCAAATTTTGACCCTACCATATGAATTTCACAGCAGAAATCGAGACTCATCAGACCGTGCGGCCTCAGTTTCCAGTATTTCAGAACCTGCGGATCTACCTGGATTTTCACACACAACCATCTCTGTAAACCCCAGAGATGGTTTTGTGTGAAAATCCATGTACCGTAGATCAGCAGGTTCTGAAATACTCAGACCAGCCCGTCTGGCACCAACAACCATGCCACGTTCAAAGTCACTTAAATCACCTTTCTTCCCCATTCTGATGTTCAGTTTGAACTTCAGCAGATCGTCTTGACCATGCCTACATGCATTGAGTTGCTGCCATGTGATTGGCTGATTAGATATTGTGTTAATGAGCAGTTGTTGAACAGGTGTACCTAATAAAGTGGCCGGTTAGTGTACTTCCTTGTAAAACTGTCAAATAACCTATTATATATAACATTATCTGTCTCTTATATTGTAGGTGAGTATTAAACAAGAGATTGACTCCAAAAGACTTCTAAGTAAACTTGCCTCAAATCTCAATAACTCTGTTCCTGACATAGAGAATTGTTGTAAGTCTCGTTTAAGAAAAATCTCTCATTATTCATACATCAGCTCATCAAATTAAAAACCCTGTCTAATGTCTGTTCATATTCTCTGACAGTGGCCGGTGACAGCTGTAACTTGTGTCTATCAGAGGACTGGGACCCTCAGCTGGGGGTGCAGAATTATCCAAGAAAGCCTGTTAAAAAGGCTCCACGTGTGGAGCAAACACTAACCTGTATAGTGGAACGTAAGCGTGACGGAGAAGAGATGGAATATCTGCTCACTCAAAGACCAAGCAAAGGTGAAACAGCAGTTTTGACTGGATGAATTAGTAATTTCTTCCAGAAAATATAATAAAATTGCACAATTTTGGATTTACCGGCATGTGTTTGCCTTTTGCAGGACTCTTGGCAGGGATGTGGGAGCTACCCAGCATGCTCTTGGAAGCTGATGTATCTGAGAGTAAATATAAAGGCTTGATATGTGACATGATGCAAAAACTGCTGGAAACATCCCTGGACACTCACTCAGTGCAGTTTGTGGGAGAGGTGGGTTTTTTCCCAAATCATAATATATAGAATAGTTTCAAACTGATCAAAATTAAATTAACAAACATGTGATTTACATCTTTGGTCATGTTGTGCACTTCTTGTTACAATGCACGCATTTGATATTCATCAATGTCTTCTGTGTTCTCTGTCAGGTGGTTCATATTTTCTCCCACATCCATCAAACGTACATTGTCTTTTCCGTGCGTGTGTCTGACTGGTCAGATAGAAAGCGAGAGCAGAAGACCTGCTGGCTCAGTAAATCTGCTCTGCATGAGGCGGCTGTATCCACTGGGGTTAAAAAGGTTTGTGTGTTGTGTCATGGATGTCACCGCAAAGCCAAACTAACCAGTGTTGTTGTAGTAAACTAAAACTTATATAGCTTTCTCTATTTGAAATAAATATGACATGAAATAAAATATAAATATATTAGTGCTGTCAAATCGATTAATCGTGATTAATCACATCTAACATAATTTTTTTTAAGTATATAATATGTACACAAATATTTACAAAACATTTTTTTTGTATGCTATTAATCGATTTGACAGCACTAATAAATATATGAATATTTATTATATTATATAAATCCTGCCTTGGCAACTAACTGCAAGAAAATAAAGTACTAAAAAAAATTTAAACAGGGATAAAAATATTTAAAGCGAAATAGAAATGTAAAAATGACAAAAGTACAGAACAAAATTGCTAAAACTTTAAAATGAAAATACTAACACAACACTGAAACTACCCTGAAGGAGGCCAATTCAATTTTCAAAAATTCTGTTTTAGTTTTACTAAGATCTGACTAAAATAAGGCTAAATGAAAGACTTTGTAATGTGTTTGTTCTGAATAGTTATTAAATTATGGTTTAGTGTTACATTCACTTGTGTGTTCAAGAAATGTGTATTGATATACAGTATGTGTTGTTATTATTATTGTCATTTTGTATGTAAATCTTGTATATTTAATTACACAGATTATGAAGCTCTATGAATCTTCAAGCAAGGCGGACATCAAGGTATGTTTTCCTGAGTTTGCATGTGCTTTATATTTTGCACTGCTTGGCATTGATTTAAAAAAATATGTTATTGTCCTGTCCTGACATTTCACACTCTTTAAGGAAAAGAAGAGAAAACCCAGCCCTGAGAAACGGTCAAACAAAATAAAAAAGCCAAAGAGTGCTGCTACTAATGGAGGACCCAAACAACTCAGCCTCACTAAATTCTTTTCTACCTCAAAGGCAACAGCTTAAAGCCAAACCTGTTGACAGAAGCTACTCTGTATATTAAGTTTTGTGGTTATCATGTAAATTTGCTATCGTGTCAAGAGAGTCACATATAATAACACATATTACCTACATCTGTTTTATTTTTAAAGCGATAATTCATTGTTATGAGGTATGTTTTTAAGTAAATAATAAATGTATAATAACCCTGATTTTTTTAAATCCAGAATAAAAGACAGCTGTTTTTAAATAAATCTTCCCTCATATTTCATGATATATTTATTTACAATATTTCTCACTACTTAGTTTAATTTAGCTGCATACTTTATTATTATTATTTAACAGCCTTTAGCCAAACAGGTAAATTAAATAACAGGGTCATGTTCCTTTCATTTTCTGCGCCCTGAATGCCCTTCCCTTCCCTGTCTAACACTGGCTTGTCAAAATAAGAGTTAAGACATACATTTTTTAATGAACGTGCAATTATTTATAATCTAACACACATGTGAAAAAAGGCTTTACAATTTCAGAACGTTTAACGTTTTATCCTTTGGTCTATTTGAAAAGAAAACCTGATTTGTATGTTTTACTTGGCAACGGTAGGGCTTTTAACTGTGAAATATGAGCTGTTAAAACTGGGTGCAGTCCAAAGTTTTCCTTAGTTCTGTGCACTTCAACTGATAACGCACTATTTTACTCAAATAATTTTGTGGAAGTTCAAAGTTGCCATCTGACCGTGCGCTTGTTCTGAACTCTTCCACACAGTGCGATACGTTTGTACGTGTCCTCGACCTCAGGTAAGTTCACCGGCAGATTTATGTTGATTGCAGACTTATCAAAATATGGGTTAATCCATATACTGTAAAAACAATAACTAGAAAATAAAAACGCACAATGTACTTTAAATTTCATGGAAAAAAAATCGGATTTTGCACTAATTGCAAGAATGTTTTGGATAAGCGAAGAACGTTTTAAAAAAAGTTCACTCAAACCATTTGTGTTCAAACAGACTTGTTCGACATCAAGGAAGTCATACAAATCTGCATTTTCATTATATCAGATCTTATTCACGCATAAACACACTATATATTATGCTAATTCGATTTATTATAGAATGGATATCTATGAAATGTACATGTTTCATCTGCATAGCAAAAAGTAATAGTGGTAATAATAAAAACAACTCTTGGTTTTACGTGTTTCCCCCTCTTCTACTGTCAAATGCTAGTCTTGCAAATTTAATTTTAATAACAGAGCAATCCTATATTAGTGTCCCCTATGGAAACAACGTGGCAGAGAGTGGAATCCATGCACCGCTGGATTCTAGAGAATGGGGGTATGATTTATTTAATATTATTAATGTGTGATTTATTATAATTTAATTTGTCCACAAATAATAATGCACAAATATTCAAAGCTCTTTGTTTGTGCCGTCATTTTATTTCAGATAAGCGGACGGACCCATGGCTTCTAGTCTACTCTCCTGTACCGATCATCTGTATATTTTTGTGCTATCTTGGTGTTATTTGGATCGGACCCAAACTTATGAAACACAAGGAACCAGTGAACCTAAAAGCAGTGCTTATTGTGTACAACTTTGCCATGGTCGCTTTGTCTGTTTACATGTTCCATGAGGTACATTATACATTACTCTAGTCTAGTTCAATCCAATAGGTGCATTTTTTTAAAGGTTATTTCAAATACTTCTGTTAAAATAACTTGGTCATCAAATCTTTAAAAGATCCATCTGCTCATGTCATGATCTGCTGTTATCACCAGTGTATTTTTCTTTTCTTTCCACAGTTCTTGGTCACATCATGGCAGGCAAACTACAGTTATCTGTGTCAACCTGTGGACTATAGCCGCAGTCCATTGGGGATGAGGGTGATTACGTCTGTTCAGCTGTTTGACATGTTGCCTAACCAATAATTCCTGTATTGAAAATCATAATTAAATTTGTTTATAGTGTTATCATGTTTTACATTCCTATAAAGATGCATTTGTTTTCTAAACATCACTTGTTATACTTTTAGATGGCCAGTGTATGCTGGTGGTTCTTCTTCTCTAAAGTCATTGAGCTTAGTGATACAGTGAGTTTGTCTAATTTAACAGATATGATTAGTGCAGATGTTTTCACCCAGGGTAGACATGCAGTTTTAAAAAATATGCTTTCTCTGTCAATTTCCACTTGTAGGTATTTTTCATCCTAAGAAAAAAGAATAGCCAACTTACATTTCTACACATGTATCATCATGCAACTATGATCTTTAACTGGTGGGCAGGAGTGAAATTTGTGGCGGGAGGTCAATGTAAGTCAAAAATATGTGCCTGAACATGCAAAACACATTGAACTGATAAATTGTTAACTTTATAGTCAGTTACTAAGGTAGAAACAAATCTGTTTTTATCAATATTAGTTAATATGCACCTTTATTTCCCCCTAGCCTCTCGGATTTTTATATTTTAGACCCATTAAATGTAACAATTATGCTATGCGTGTAATTATTTTTTAACAGAATATCTTGTATTTTATTAATTTAACTGTGTGCCTTTTTGCCTATTCTTTCAGCATTTTTTATCGGGCTGCTGAACACTTTTGTTCATATTGTGATGTATTCGTACTATGGCCTGGCCGCCCTGGGGCCTCACATGCAGAAATATCTGTGGTGGAAGCGCTACCTCACCTCACTGCAGCTGGTAAATACACATAAACACACACGCATTGCTAATCTGGTCACAACCTCTCATTACATCCTCTCATTACAGGTCCAGTTTGTTTTGCTGACTCTTCACACTGGATACAACCTCTTCACTGAGTGTGACTTCCCTGATTCCATGAATGCAGTTGTGTTTGCGTACTGCGTCAGCCTCATTATACTTTTCAGCAACTTTTACTACCAGAGCTACTTAACAAGGAAGAGCAAGAAGTCTTAATAGTTGGTCCACATGAAGAGGAGAAGAAATCACCCACTTTTTGATAGACTATTTTTTCCATCGCTGTTGAAATTGAAATCAGGCCTCGATTATATTTAGTCATCAGGACTAAAAGGATTTGTTGAAACAACTGACCTCATATCTAATTTGGGTTGTAAATATAACTTGTCTAGTAGAGATAATGTTTTATTATCAGTCTTGTTATTTTTTGTGCATTTTGGAGCGGTGAAATCTCCTGTTTTGTCATCAACCAAAATAGAACTTGAATGTAAATGAAGAAGTGTAATCTCATTTTAAGTAAATCTAGGATGGAACATTATTAATTGTGCTAAACAGCTTTGTACTATCTATCTTATCAATTGTGCGTCTCTATTAACAATAGTGAAGTGCACTAGATGGCACTACAGTATGTACATAACTTGACTGCAGCTGTTCTCGCGATATGTACGCCAGGGTTGCCAAGTCTGTAGTTTTCCCGTGGGATTGGGCTACTTTTTGGGCAAATAACAGTTGCCGCAGTGTGATAATTCAATAATTGATGATATTTACAACAGAACTGACTCAACATTTAATTGACTTCAGCTGAACAACAGCCGAAATCATAGTTTTCCTGTTAACACTGTAAAGCTGCTTTGAAACGATCTGTACTACTGTATGCGCTATATAGCCTAGCCTAATTAAAGGTGTCTTTACTTGACTTCTCACATAGGCCCTACACGGGATAAAGGTTTCAAATGTATTGCATAAATTATATTTAACCGAAATCCTTTAAACTAAATATTTTATATTTTACCAATGATAATACTGATTGATGTTAAGTTGGTGGGCCACTGCCCACTGCACTTTTGAGGTGTGTTTGCTCGCTACGATATAGTGGTTTTCATTTTGCATAACAGTGACTGTAGAATATGTATTTTAGGTAGGAGGAGAATAGCATATTTTGAGTTTTGATATTTGGGATTGTAGTTGGGCTACTTTTGGCTAGTTTTTTTATGCAGACCTGACTACACGCCATGCTCACATAAAGTGTCAAAGGGTGTTTGAAATGTGAATAAACAGCAGGCCTGATATTAAAGCAACACCATGTGATTTTTCCTCAGCGGTCGCCCTACAGTTTGGAAGCAGAATTGTCCATTACTGCTGTCGTAAATAATTTAGCCTTCCGCAGCCGACTGTCGCACGCGCACGCTCCCTGTTTATCCAGCACCGGCTTTGGAATCAACAATGGCAGACATCCCAACCTGCAAGAAGTCATTTCAGGGAGGTATATCTTGGTGACTGGATTGTTGACGGCTGGTGGCGGGTTGTGGCGGGTTGACTAGCTTTCGTGAGGCACACTCGCAAGGTCTCTTGCTCTCTCTCTCTCAGCCGTGCTCGCGCTATGTATGTTATGCGCGCAGTATGTTCTGTCTCGCATGCGCGCTCTAGATTCCGGCAGATCTGAACTAATTTGCGGGCATCAGGGAGACGCAGGAGACTCCCGGGAGACTTGGGATGTCTGCAATGGCCACAGACAATTTGAGGAAGTGGTGGGGGAAGTGACGTATGCCGTAAAGCAGTCGAATTTTGTAGTTCTTTTTGTGCACGGGTTCCTACCCGAAACCCGAAGTTACATAGTGCCAGTAAAAGCGATACAGACCACGTCAGGCTATGGCAGACGTGTCATTTAACTTATTTTAAGTCGATGTACCATCGCAAGGGTCTTGGAAATATATTATGAAGGTTGAAAAACTACATAGTGTTACTTTAAATAATCCAAATCAGCCGTTTAGCCTGTAGTAGATCGTTCAGTATTGCAACAAAAAGACAAAATCATAATAGTAAGTTATTGAACCTACAAAACATATATCAAATCAAGCTGCGCAATTGAGATTTCAGCAGAGGTGGACAGTAACAAGTACATTTACTTGAGTACTGTACTTAAGTACACTCTTTGAGTATCTGACTATAGCCGCGTTTCCACCGCAGGAACTTTCCCCAGGAACTAGGAACTTTGGGGTGGTACTCAGTGTGTTTACACCGCAGGAACCAGGGTCTAAATGAAGTTCCGGGTAAAAATTTCCCCCCCAGAAAGTCCCTGCTGGCGAGGTAGTACTTTTTCAGAGTTCAGGAACTTTCGGGGTGGGACTTGTGCGCTGAACATGCTGATTGGTTGAGCTCACGTCACATTTGATTGGTTGACTCCACACAGCATTTTATTTTAGCCGCCATTTTTAAAAAACGCGCTTCCTTGCTTCGTGCAGTAAAGAGTTGTCGGGAAATTAATATGGAGTTTACCAAAAAATACGACCGCTGGACCGACGACGAGGTCCAGGCTTTAATAAGCGTATTTGCGGAAGAAGAAATCCAGCGGGAACTGGAAACGGCAATCCGCAATGAAAAGGTATACCTGAAAATATCGAGTCGGTTATACGAGCTGGGCATTGTTCACACTGGAAAACAGTGCAGAGAGAAGTTAAAAAAATTAAAACAAGACTACAAAAAAGTCAAGGATCACAACAATAGAAGCGGATCCGATCGGCGTACTAACAAGTGGTTTGACCGCCTGGACGCGTTGTTGGGACACAGGCCGGCATTCTCTGGAGCAGCGGTGACAAAAGACTCGGCAATTGCATTTTTGGAATCCATTCATGATTCTGAGGACCAGTCGGTTGAAGGTAAATTATCACACCTCTACATGATATTGTCTTAAACTCTTTGCAGTGATAAAACAAACTAACTTTTTTCAACGTGTTTTTACAGATGAAATGAATGGCCCCAATGATGTGCAGGCAACAGAGACCAGTGTGTTTTCCCCTGCAATCACCAGTAGCCCTCGTCCCATGTCTTCCGCCGAAACACACACACGACGAGGTATTAAACAACGTTGTCTATTGATAAAAATATACTTCAAAACTAGGGGTGTAATAATATATCGTGCAACAATATATTGCAATACAAAAATGCAACAATACGTATCGTGGACAGTTCACCCAAAATAAAATTACTGTGTGAGAAAAAAATTCAGGTTTTTTAGTGTCAGTACTACATTAAAATTATGTTGATATTAATGTATAATCTAATGCAATGGGGGAATGTTTGTGGGTCCTAATAATGCCAAACATCTACCAATGTTAAACATATTCGTCTAAAATAATTCAGTATTTTCAGCTTCAGAATTATGTTTATTCTGGTGTCACCATTGTCCTTGAGTTACAAGCACCAAGTCCAAGCATGGAGCATGATGGCAAAGTTTTAAATTTAATATTTTGTAATGAAAACACTTAAAATACGTATTTTATGGTTTTCAGGGTGGGCTTGTGTATTTATTGTCATGTGTTTCTCCATTAGGGAAGAGGAAAAGGGATTGTGACTTTCTTGATGCGCTGAGGGACATGGAAGATTCTAACCGGACCGCCCTGCAGCTTGGACAAGAACAGCGTGACAAATATATGCAGCTGTTACTTGAGAGCCAGGCTGAGGAAAGAGAGATGAGGAGGCAGGAGTTGGCGTTCCTGCAGTCGGAAGCTGAAGAAAGCAGACGGCAGCAGAGGGACTTTCAGGCCGGGTTTCTGTCTGTTCTTGGACAGTTTGCCCAGTCATTCAAAAAGTAGCCACTGAACTCTGAGATTGCACTTTAAATTGAACATTTGCATTTTTTGTTTTTATTTGCACAATTCTAATTTTTATGAGGGCCGGGTTTCTGTCTGTTCTTGGACAGTTTGCCCAGTCATTCAAAAAGTAGCCACTTGAACTCTGAGATTGCACTTTAAATTGAACATTTGCATTTTTTATTTTCTTTGCACAATTCTAATTTTTATATATTGTTTGCATTCCTGCAGAGGGCCAGGTTTCTGTCTGTTCTTGGACAGTTTGCCCAGTTGTTCAAAAATACATTTGTATTTGTTTTTCTTTACACAATATATTACTGTTCTCGTAATTTATTTCTTTTCACATGATTGTATTTTAAAATATATATGTTTAGTAAGCAGTACTTGCCTTGTGTTAAATAAAGTTTGTAAAATGTCACTTTGAGATCAAGTGCCTTTTCATCTCAATGGTAATTTTAGCTCTTACATAAGGTCTTGAAGTGCTGGTTAGATGTAAAACATTTCTGGTGAAAGTGCACAGGTTAAAATAAGCAAAGTGTAGGTAATTTAAGTCACTCATGAAATTACATTTTATATTTGACAGCCAAATATACAGGTGAAACTCAAATTTAGAAGTATTGTGCAAAGTTGTTTCAGTAATTCAACTTAAAGGTGAAACTCGTATATGGACTCATTACATGCAAGGTGTATTACATTTTCAAGCCTGTTATAATTATGACTATACGTCTTACAGCTTATGAAAACTTCACATTTATTCTAATTTTGAATTTGATTTTCATAGCTGAAATATCTCACTTTGCATTTAAGTTGAATTACTGAAATAAAGTTTTGCATGTTATTCTAATTTTCAAGTTTCACCTGTAAACAGAAGGTGATAACAGAATAAATTAAAACCAAAGCATGATTTAGAAGTAATCATTTTTATTTACAAAAAAAAGTGTTACACAGCAAAAACAATGTACAACAGGTGTATACAGCCTAAAAAAGTGCATTACAGCACCTGAAGGTTATTTTTCCCTTACCAAAAAAAACAAACTTTATGGTGTGTAGCCAGTGATAGTGCAGTTTCCTACACTGTAGTCAAAAACTTCATTAGGCCTGTACGTGCATCAAGACCCTCGGCCTCTACAGTGGATGACAGTGCCCCGTCAGGCTGGTTGAATGTACCCGTAGTCCATTCTTCTCTGAACTCATCACCATTCATTTCACAGAGGTTATGCAGAACACAACATGCGACCACCAGGGATTTGACCTTGTGTGTATTGCAGTCATTTCGTTTTAGCAAACACCTCCATCTGCCCTTTAGTCTGCCAAAAGCATTCTCAACCACCACCCTGGCTCTGCTTGTTTTATGGTTGTACACAAGTTGTTGGGGTGTCAGTCGTCCGTTGTCGGTGAAAGGTTTCATCAGCCAGCTCTTCAAAGGATAGGCTGCATCACCAAGGACATAGTACCCCACATCATGTCCACAAATGTTCTTGGTTACATCAGGTAGTAACAAACCCCGATCCACTAGGTCCCACAATCCTGACAAACGTAGCACTCTGGCATCATGCAGGCTCCCTGGCGCTCCTAAAAAAACATTCCAAAAGAGGCCTCTTCCGTCCACAACAGCCTGTAGGATGATCGAATGCCAGCCCTTCCGGTTGAAGTACTCTGTGTGGTACTCCTCTGGTCCAAGAATGGGGATGTGTGATCCATCAATTGCACCTACACACTGTGGCAAACCCCATCTGCACTCAAAATACGTCGCCATTTCTTTCAACTTTTCACTGTTTGGTAACTGGATAACTTCTTGCATGAGTACCTTCTCAACAGATGAGCAGAAATCGTGAACACAGTGACACACAGTAGCAACTCCGACTCCAAATAAATGAGAGATGCTTCTATACTCAGAGTTGGTCGCAAGTTTCCACAGTGCAATGGCGATTCTTTTTTGAATGGGTACACAATGTCGGTAGTTTGTGTCATGTCTCTCCAGTTGGGGTTGCAATCGACGACAGAGGTACAGAAAAGTATCCTTAGACATCCGGAAATTCTTTATCCACTGTGCTTCGGTGAAAGTTGGAACCACGCTGTCCCACCATTCTGTTGTTCTAGTGTGCATCCAAACCGATTGCGAAACACGACGCATTCGATAGTACTCCCATATCTAAAACACACAAAAGTTGCAAAAAATAAGTTGATGTAATCGATAATAACATTATTCACAACTCTTGTTAATTTTGGTGGATTAATTTCTTACCAATCTTGTTCTTTCTGCCCGATGGCGCGCGTTCGTCCCATCCATCTCACGGTCAATGTCCACTATAGCTGATAACAAACGTTGTCTACTTTTATATCTAGCATTACGAGCTTTCTGAATACGCTTTAGTATTAATGCTCGTCTCTTTTCTGCCGTTTTGTTAATTACCTCGTTAGTAAACCAATAGATCGCACACAAAAGCAGCACAGCTTGAATATCCTCCATACTCAAAACAAACGCGTCGCGCAGACTGGGAGGGAGGAGCAGTCGCACGCAGTTCAACGTCACCAGACTAATTTACATAATCTTCCCGGTACTTTAGACCGCGGTGTAAACGCAGTAGGCAACCGGTCTGGGGGAAAAAAAAGTTCCTATGAAAAAAGTTCCTGGGACAAATAGTTCCTGGTAATTGCGGTGGAAACGCGGCTTATCTGTACTTTACTTGAGTATTTTTTTTCTGGAAAATTTTACTTTAAAGGTCCCGTATTATGCCCCTTTTCACAAGATGTAAAATAAGTCTCTGATGTCCCCAGAATGTGTATGTGAAGTTTCAGCTCAAAATACCTAACAGATCATTTTTTACAGCATGTTTAAATTGTCATTTTTTGGGGCTCAGAAAAACGCGCTGTTTTAGTGTGTGCCCTTTAAATGCAAAATAAGCTGCTGCTGCCGGCACAGGGGGCGGAGCTTCATGCGCTCGCGCTCAGTCTATGATGATATTGATAATATCAGAAACTCTCAGTAACGGTGTTCATTTCGAGTCGGACAATAATGCCTACAGAGTCAGAGTGCTGTATAGAGACGGAACAGGTATAGTTTAGTAGTTTAATTACGGTTATTATAACGTATTTGTCATCTGCTTGTATGTATCCATTATTTATTAATAGCCTACAAGTCTGCTGTTTCGGACCCAGTGGCGCCTCCAGAAACTTTTCATAGGGGTGGCCAGATGGGGCCACTTAAAATCTTGGGGTGGCACACCAAAACTATAAACCATAATTTCAGAATTTTATTCTACTGTTGTAGTAAACCGGCCTGTAGAAAACTATCAGAAAGACTTAAGGAAACTCCTACTGATATACTTTGGTTTATTGTGTTATATTTAATGTTAGCTTACTAATGATATTAGTAGGGCCCTACTAATATATATTATATATAATGATATATATATTATATATATATATATATGTATATATATAAGGGCCCTCGCCCCACGGCAAATTTCCAGATACTTACATAATTGTGATGAATTTAATCCTTTTTAAGTTATTATTTTGCAGTGTAAGATTACAGTTAACACCTTTAAATATTACATAAATGTACTATGAATTTTTAATAAACTTAATGAGTGTATAAATCAGCAGCAAAAAGTAATTCTTGAAAAAATATGCACAGTAATTTTATAAAATCTAAATATGTTAATAAAAAACAAATTACTATTAGTTCTCTTATAAAATTCAATCAGGCAATCATACATTTCACAATTTTATAATTATATATTAATGTCAAGAATTCAGAAGTGCATATATAACCTACACTACAAAGAAATAATTTACAATTAAATTATGCTTATTTTAAATGTATTGAGCAGGCTAGGTATAACAAAATATATTGGCTTTTAATAATATTTCAGTGCTCAAACCCATGATAACATGAAAAACAGAGCGCACACAGCGTGTATGCGCATCTCGGGTGCAGAATGATGTGCTCAAAGCAACATGGTGACTCTATGTGTGCAGCAGCGCTGCGCTGCGTGCGCATTTATAAGTTCACGTCACAAAGCGAAGAAATGTCGAGCGCACAAATCCTAGTGCGAATTGTTCCTTTGTTTCAGTTTTATATTCCAGTTATTGTGGGTTTGATGTCGATTCATAGTCCCTGTGATGTGTGTGTGATGATCTAGCAAGCACACGGTAGTGAGTCGTTTAAAAACAACAACAAACTCCAACAAAATAAAGTGCAAATTTTATGCAAAGCTACAGCCTTTTATCTACAGATCATGCATTATAATGTGAATATATCATATTGGAGAGAGTTTTACCGTGCATCCAAGAGGCGCGCGCGCTGTTTGAGTATGAATGGAAAAGTGATTGACAGCCGCAGAGAAGGGAAAAGGAGTTTCCATATACTTTAATGATGTAAATAGACTTCTGTCCCTCACATTAAGCTATGGAATGACTTCAGATGACTTTGTCACCCAAACTGACGTAAAAAAAAAAAAAAAGCGGGAGGCGCGCTGTTTGTATCCCTGCTTGTCAAAACGTGGCAAAGACACATCAAAAAGCTGCTGTCACAAAATACTGTAACCATTTGGCACTTAAAAAGCACGTCACGACACATAATGCCCCGTCTTCTTTTACTAAAGAATATTTTTGACTTATTTATGAAATGCATAACTGATGCTACTAAATTTTATTCTGGCCGTTGGGGTGGCCAGTGGGGTGGCCAGGAGTCGGCCAGGGGTGGCCGTGGGTGACCCCCTGGTGGCGCCATTGTTCGGACCAGGTCCGAATGATGATCAAACATATAACGTTACTGATGAGTTTAATAAAGTTTATTGTAACGTTACATCACACAAAAGATGAAGCGTAAGTTTTACTTCAGAAAATCACCGTAAGAGCTGAGTAAACAGTAAGTTATAAGAAGTGCGCAAATTGGGGGAGCATTCTTGTGGGCGGACGTTAGTCAAAAAACTGTTCTACTGACGTCATTAAAGAAGGAAGTAGAGGGATGTAGGCTACTGCTAGTCCAAACTGGACACTGTAGTTCGATGTAGGCGACTTCTGTTAAATAAAATATCTCGCTTGGCTTTGAACTTTGAGCTTTATAATTTTACAGATATTATTTATACTCTAACAACAACATTACACACTAACTAAAGTTTGAAACATGGGATCACGAAGAACGTCTCCGGTAACCTCGGTTCCCTGAAGCCGCCTTTCCACTGCACACGACATTTGCATACGATTGTCGCATTTCGCCCCCTAGTGTCAGTCGCACGGAACTTTGAAATTGGTCGTGAAGCAACCGTTACCCTAAGTTACCTAACCTTACTATTCACAATGGTAAATGAATGATGAATGTAATGCATGCATGAATATATCCACACAAAACAAATGACCCCCAATACATCTAAAATAAAAACAATAGATTTTACAGAGCTAATCAATATAAATATTGATTTAATAATTATAAAATATTTTTTTCTGATCCGGGGAGGTCTGCGTTTGAACTGAAGTGTATACCCGCGCCGAATTACGTTCAACACCCACGGCGAAATGCCCGGAATAGCTTCCCATGCTGTCTGGAAACAACTGAGTGTGGGCTGAACTAAACCTGCGGTCATCGCCGCTATGTGAGGGCTGGAAATAGACACCTCGCGCTTCCCGTGAGGTGCCTTTATAGTTAATGACCGTGACTCTGCGCTGCTCGAGGGCAGGGCGGGTAACACAGTGTGTGGTGCAAGAGGAGAAAAAAGCTCTGTTTGTGAAGAAGTAATTTGCTTTATTTTTGAACACACAACATAACTGCACGTGTCGCTCGCAGAACGCTGAGGGACATGCTCTCGAGCGCGTCGCTTGGACGCGGGGCCATCCTGGCGCTCTCCTCTCCTCTTGCCCGAGCGGTCAGGACGACTGCTTGGGCCTCGCCGGGGACGCGGTGGGCTTCCTGCGCGGGCTCCTCTGAGCCGGCCTCTTGTTTCCCGCTCCATGCCACTGGCCGCTTCGGCCTTTACGGGCATCCGGTCCCGGGCGCGGCGCTGACTGATGCCTGGCCCCAGCTTAAGGTTGACGACCCGAGGCGGAAGACGAGAGAGAGCGGGGGTGCGGCGGCGGAGGCATCGGCGCCCTCTGAGGAATCACGTGACTCATCGCCTTCGCCTTTTTCTGCGTCTCGGAGTATCGCTCGGTTACCTTTTCCACTGCGTCTCAGGGGGGATGCGGAGGTAGCCATGGTCTCCCACCTCGTCCACGGGGGCAAACATGGCCTGGGTTGAAGTGAGGGTCCGCGCCGATTGCGGGGGCGCCCACGACTTCACCACGTGCTCATGCACGTCAGGAAAGAACGGTGTTCCTCTTCTCGAAGCGGCCTGACGGCGGCTCGATTGGAGGAACCACGTATCCAGCTTGCTCTTTGATGGCTCATCGGGGGCTTTCCACGATAAATCCAATTCCTCGACGGCCTTCGAGAGGATACGGAAGAGCTCTTCCTGCAGGTCCGCCGGGGTCTCTTGCTCCGTGGTTGCCAGAGGAGCGCCTGCTCCGCACCCCAGTCGTTCTCGGAGGCCGACAAGGACATAGAGTCTTCCTCCTCACTCGCCCCGAAGGACACGAAGTCAGCGACCTCGCGAGGGGGTTGAAAGGAAGGGTCGGGGAAACTCACCGGGGGTCGAACCTCGACTCCACCGTTGGGGGGGCCTGCCAGCAGCTCGGAGGCGGCAGCAGGCCCAATCCCCGCAGCAGCGCGAGCTTCGTCCCGCCTGGCCTTGAGGGCTCGGAGGGACATGTCCGCACAGAGATCGCAGGACCCTCCATCCCTGAGGGCTGACTCAGCGTGGGCCAGCCCCATGCACGCGACGCAAAACAGGTGCATGTCTGGGGGCACTATGGGGCCCGAGCATAGGTTGCAAACGGTCGCCATCGGATGCTGGAGACAGTTCAGGTATCTCCGGCGCACCTTCAACGACAGCGAATTGATCCAAAGTTTGTTGAGTAGTATCAGCTTTCTAGCACACGATTTGAGCGTGAAGAGAGAGATTCTAAAAAGGAATTGGCGCTCACTTGCATATATACTGCTACGAGGTGTCAGTATTTGCATATTCGCGTCAATTGGCCAGCTCTGCTGGCGTTAGCCTATAAGATTTCAGCGGAAGTGAAGGATGAGAGGAGTTCCCATATACGACATTCGTAATGTCGAAGTTCCGTAGCCTTGATAGGGAACAGGACCTTAAAGGGCCCCTATTATGGATTTTTGAAAATGACCTTTCATGTATTGTGTAATATAGCTCTAGGTGAATGAAAACATCCTGCAAAGTTTTAAATCTGAAAGTGCACCGTATATTGTCTTTCAAAAGTAAGAATCTTTTTTCAAACGAAACGAGTCATAAGCCGTTGCGTCTTGACGTATTCACACAGTGCGCGTGCGGGCGGGGAGGCAATATCGCGGGCTAAGTCTCTCTCTCTCTCTCTCTCTCTCTCTCTCTCTCTCTCTCTCTCTCTCTCTCTCTCTCAGATTACATTTATTAAAGAATAAATGTTCACAGACAGACAGGCCTTAGATCAAGCCAGGATTAGGCCTTAATTCAATTAGGGCATTTAAGTAGCTTTATAAACGTGCCTTACAATAAAAAACACCACTGTGCATCTTGAGACAAAACAATGGTACATATTTTAAGTTGGTTTCAGTTAAATCAGCTCAAGCATGCATTTTAGTCTGGGAGATTTAAGCCTTGTCTGTGAAACAGGTGACTTAAAACTGACATTGCAATATTTTTTACTTTATTTATGAATTCATTACCAATAGTAAATTCAGATTGTAGGTCTTAGAACTACAAACTGATTATCTCTAATTGAATTACTTTATTATTGACTTTTTAAAACATGGAGACAATTTAAATTATTATGTTCTAATGAAAGAATGACTGAGCGGTCAACGTGGCCAAAGTTTTTATGTTATAAACTGACAAATTGGAGCATTTTGGTAGCTTCCAAATGTCTTGCTAACTAATTTTTTTTATTCGTTGCCAGGACACTGAGTGTGTGTGTCAGTGCATTTAGAAGTATTAAAACCATGAGATGCCTTTAGACTGAGATCATGGAAGTGCTGCCTGGAAATTTTCTCATAAATTGTGCGTCAAGTCTCTGATGTAACGCATTACTGGTAAACAAAACAATTTGCTTGAGCAGGGAAAACTGTTGAATTGACCTGTTCTTAAATGTCTGTCTCTTGGGTTGCATAGACATTTTTCAGTTTTTACACATGGCATGCATCATGCCATGTGAATTATTTATTATCTGTGGCCAAATCTAAACATGACATTGGTAAAATCCTACTCTGGAGGAGGTTCTCTGGCTTTTTTTGCTACCTAATTGTGTCACTCTCTAACTCACAGATTGTACTCGCAAAACCAGGATTATTGACGTTGTGTACAATGCCTTCAACAATGAGCTTGTGAGAACCAAGACCCTGGTGAAGAACTGCATTGTTCTGGTGGACAGCACACCATATAGCTCACTATAAATAGATGAGAATTTCTATTATTAGAGATTCAGATTGTCCATGGACCCTCTGCAATGCATATTGCACACAAAAATGACAAGAGCTTTTCCAAAACCACCAGCTCCAATATTATATTTACACAGATGCTATGCACACTTTTCAAAGAGCTTGTAATTGCTTTGGTGATTTATGTTGATTAATATGGACTATTGATGCCTGCTGATATAGACAGTTATGTCCTTACACGCAGGTGAAGAACGCAGTTGACAGTCACCTCTGTAGTCCTTTTTGTGTTCAAGCTAATATTAATATGGGTTAATGGCATCTTAAGCAAGAATACATATTGTTTTCGAATTTAGCACTAATATTGAAGTCAGATATGCAATTAATGACCGGGACATTGGTCCAACAATCCCCACCATGAACGACATCAGAATCTTTCCCAGATAAACCTTCTTGAAGCTTTTAACTGCATAAAAGGAGGGTCAGTTCCTGCAGGTAGCTTCTCTGTGAGGTTTCCACACTTTTCCCATCATGGATCTTTTGAGACAATCACGATCATCTCCATTTTGTTTAAAAAAAAAAAAAAAACGGAACATTGGCAAACAGTTGTTTTTTCAACAGCACTCATCCCCACCAGTCCATTCAATCCATAGTCCAAAGCAAATAAATAACAGTAGATTTAGTAAAGTCACAGGATGTTCTCATTTTTATGATCATTTGACACATTTCCCATTAGAACCAGAGACTAGACCAAGAAACTACATTTTATGTTTCCCTCATGTTTATTTGACATCTGTTTATTTTCCATGTACAAAACCAGTCAGAATGGTCTCAGTCAAAGACAAATCTGTTTAATTAAGAGTCACGTTTAATTAGTAAGAGTCACAGAGCTTCTGTCTAAGTTTGCTTTTTATGTTCTGTTTCCTCAGCCGGTATTGCGTCCAGGCCTGGCCGTGTGGTAAAGTGGGCGGAATCATCTTGGAAGGGAGAACTGGAGTTTTACCTCGGAAGATCAAAGACAAATAGACAAGCAATACAACCAGAACTCTACAGTATGAGCATTTAAGGGTGAAACTGACTATGAATGTGCAAAAATTATTCAGGTCACCAGTGTGAATGATTAGCCTATTTCCTAATGGGCTAACAAAATTGGCTGTTTTTTTGGTCATTTTGTCCTGAAATATTGCATTTTGCACAACATTTCTTACACTTTCGTGCACATACGGTCACTTCTGCATCCTGCACTAACTGCACATTCATGTTACTATTTAGGCCTACTGTTACTAACTATTTATTGTTTTATTTTGTTCCATTTATTTTCAATATTTATTTCAACTGTCACTTTGAGAGTCCAGTTTAAATATTAAATAAATCTTGTAGCCTGCATCTACAATAAAGTGCAAAAAAAAATTTGAGTGTATAAAACAGTAACGTTAGTGTCTTAAAGGGTTAGTTCACCCAAAACTGAAAATTCTGTCATTAATTAGGCTAGGCTTCTCAACCTGATGTCGTTCCAAACCCGTAAGACTTTCGTTCATCTTCAAACACAAACGAAGATCTTTTTGATGAAATCTGATAGCTTTGTGTCCCGACAGATACGCAACTGGCACTTCGACGCTTCAGAAAGTTATTAAAGAGATCGTGAAACTAATCCATGAATTGAGCGGTTTAGTAGCCTAGGCCTACAAATTTTCTGAAAAGACATGATCGCTCTTTTTTTTGTGATGGACAGACTGAATTTAAGCTTTTATTTCTTTAAGGAAACAAGGGCTAAGTGTAGAGCCGTGATTACATGAAACAATAACATGTACCATCTTAGTCTTTTAGGTTGCTGTATTTTCTATGGTCTCGTTTATTTTTTATATTTAGTAAATATTTGCAACTTAAAAAAATGTAGGCTACATTATGAGATTTGTGAATGATCCTCATCCTCTCCAAAAGGGGGCAGACTTCCCCTAACAATAGTCTGCAAGTTTTAAAGGTTTTTTTTTCCGGCTCAGTCCATCATATGTTTGAGACTAGTTTCTAATAAAGTTTAGGGAACATATGCACATCATTTGCAAAATGTCTTGCCATTTGAGTCCCCAGTATATTTTATAGTAATTACACGGCGTTACTCACATTGAATGATGAAACTCTATGTTTGATTAGTCAAGCTCTTGACAATTACCATACCTAAAACGTACAATGATGAGCATTAGACTGCAATATTCAAGAGTCATTTATTTTCAGAGATTGAGAGATTGACATCATTAATATTAAACAAACTGTACATTTTATACATACGTTGAAAGTGTGGTAGATATTAAAAGCCATCAACCATCACAAAATAAAGAACTCTTTTTTTCTGGGATGATGACAACCAAATGACAAAGCAATACAAACATTTGCAAACATTCACTGACAAAACACAGCAACACTAAATAATTGTTTCCAACACAACAGCCAACAAATCAGAAAAAGAGCTCTGACAGGGAAATGTGGAACTCATCACTGATGACGAGCTGTGGTGGCTCTGAAGTTTCTATCAAACTGTTCCAAAGTCACAATTGGATCAGAGCTGACCAGCTGGATTTATTAAGACTAGTGATGCCGTGATGACGACAAGGGAGTGTCTCATGAGACTTTGAACATATCTTTCAAAACACTGGGAAAAAAAAGGCAATTTCATAACATCCCACAAATAAACACACTCAACAACACAGAGCCCTCATTATTTAACCTTCATTGCAGGGGAATAGCAGCTTTTTGGGTCGTCAAGGAAGCAGATAATATTTCAGTCCAATGAGGTGATTCAACAATGCATTTTAAGGAATAAAAAAAAAGAAAAGCTGAATTCTGAGAAAAACGGAATCTCTGACAGGTTGAAACTGCGTTGATGGAAGAAAATAATAAAAAATACATTTGTGTTGATGGCCGACAGGATGACCTAATTCTACGTCTCGGTGTACACTGAAGACATTTGGCTCAAGCCGCGATCGAAGCCGCCCACCTGAAAGAAAACACTTTCCTCTGTGCCCGGCGAGAACTGGCAACCTGACCCTATGATGTCGGGCACCAAGCTGAAACCTTTGCATTAAAAAAAAGAGAACAAATGGAAAAATGTGTTATACTTTCATTAAACACTCTCAGAAAATGTGCACAAATTGTCCCATTAGATAATCACTAAATCTACCCCTAAAGAGCGCATATGAGCACCTTTAGGTACCTTGAAGGGTTTTTAAAAATAAAGTTTCTAAAAGTTTTTTTTTTTTTTGCAGTGCTGCACAGGTCTTGAACCATTTTTTTCTTAGTGTGAAGAACATTTAAAAAATCAAAAGAACGTTTTTTCCACTATAAAGAATGTTTTGTGGAATGCAATGGTTCCATGGATGTTAAAAGTTCTTCATGGAACCATCAATGCCAATAAAGTACCTTTATTTTTAAGAGTGTAGATAAGGTAGGGTACAGCCCAATTTTTGCACATTTTAAATACTCTCATTTAACATCAAGAATACTTTTTAGGGTAGTGAAACGAGACAAATAGTTGAGTAAAATGGAAAGAATAACTAGCCAGAGCTGCATTTCCAAAAAGTATTGTAAGCTTATAGATTGTGGAACCATTGCCACTACTGAGTTTTGAGAAACGCAGCCCAGATCAGTTGACCTGTTTCTAACCATATTGCCTATTAATGGTCCTGAAATGAATCTACTGTGCTCTAATGTATAATGACGGCTCACAATTTCAGTCGTGCTTCATTTTATTGTTATATTGCTTAAAGGAGAACTCCGGCGCAAAATGAACCTTTGGTCTAATTACACATTGTTACCTAGTCAACCGTTATCTGAGATTTGTTTTCATGATTATCGAATGTAAATAGTTTTATCTCTAAAAACAGTTTAGCCTATAAAGCTAGTATAACGCTAGTATATTGGGCATAGTGTAATGACAAAAAAAAATCGCTTGTTAATACCACTAACAAGGCTGAAAATAGACCCACACTAACACGGTAGCATAATGAGGGTCCCTACCTTCAAACCGAAGCATTGAGAACTTTGTCAGTGTCCAGACAGTTTAATAAGAAGATATTTTAAACATACAGTCAACTTCGCGTATACAGGCAGAATCCATCTTTGAAATACAGCCTTTACCAGTCGATCTACGAACGCCGATCCAAGCCTGCTGTTCGCGCTCACCTTACCCTATGTCACCTTATCACAACTTATAGCTCGTTCACATCTCACCAGCGCACTTGGATCGGCGTTCGTAGATCGACTGGTAAAGGCTGTATTTCAAAGATGGATTCTGCCTGTATACGCGAAGTTGACTGTATGTTTAAAATATCTTCTTATTAAACTGTCTGTACACTTACAAAGTTCTCAATGTTTCGGTTTGAAGGTAGGGACCCTCATTATGCTACCGTGTTAGTGTGGGGCTATTTTCAGCCTTGTTAGTGGTATTAACAAGCGATTTTTATTTGTCATTACACTATGCCCAATATACTAGCGTTATACTAGCTTTATAGGCTAAACTGTTTTTAGAGATAAAACTATTTACATTCGATAATCATGAAAACAAATCTCAGATAACGGTTGACTAGGTAACAATGTGTAATTAGACCAAAGGTTCATTTCGCGCCGGAGTTCTCCTTTAATAATAACAGGATTTGTGGAGTTAAATCTGCGCAATCAGGAATTTCATGTGAGGGTGAACGATATCCCCATGCAGATTTCATAATGGGTTCAAGTTGGTTACACAAATTTGCAGTGTTGACCAACAGAAAGCTTCTTAGATTGAAAGTGAAAGTTCTTAGTTCTTTGTGATCTGCGCTTTATACATCACTACACTGTTGACAATTGACCTCTCTTGCCCAAGAAATTTCACCAAAATGTATTTGTGTACCTGTGGAAGAGGTGTTGGTGGAACAGCTCATGTGGAAGCCGTTGTGTGGGTTTGTGTTGAAGCTGTGAGACTCTGCAGGTTGATGACCGCCGCTGATGGACTGGTCCATTCGGTAGCTGTCACCAAAATGGAAACAGCTCTGGAAGTTACCACGGTAATCTGTAAACGAACATTTATAAAAAAAAAAACATAATATATACGCATTAGAATAAAATTAGATTCAAAACTTAAAATAGCTCTTTAACAATATAGCAAAAACCACAGACTGTAACAGTATTCCTGTTTGTATTTCTATTTTTGGACTTTTCCCTCTTTCTCCAAGTTTGCTTCCAGAAGTGTTCAACAAGTAGTCTCGCTCGGATGGGGGTCTTGGATTTGAGGTGGTACACACATGTACATCTGTGTCCTGACAGGGAAGTAGAGCGTTTCTCCTTTAGCAGTTCTTTTGACTGACAGCTTAGCTGTTTTGGACTGGGTGGTTTTAGAGCAAAAAGCTTCCTCTTGTGGTTCCAGGCGTCTCTTTCAGCCCACATGTTCTGGCTAATACACAGAGCACTGCAGAGACTATGCCAGTTCTCATACTGGTGTGGCTCTTTCTGACATTAAATACTCATGAGGTGATATTTTAAACAGGTATATTCTAATAGATCAGGAGTAAAGGCAGGGGATGGGTGCTGTAAGTGGTACATGCTTAGAGTCACCATGAAATCAATATTGATTTCATGAAAAAAAAAAAAAAAATCAATGGAATGCTGCAGTGTTTATTATAGATCATTTTGAATTGGCACATCAGTTTAAACATTTAAAGCCTACCGTGTCATATTTGATATGCACATTTCTAAGGCCTCGAAATTATCAACATGATCAAAACCTTTTGTACACACTCTTTGGTTACACTTTATTTTGATGGTTCACTAACTCTCATTAGTGTATTAGTAGACTGTTAGATTAGGGTTAGGTGTTAGGGTTCGGGTCTAGTAGAATAAGTTGGAATGCAGATGAAAAGTTACTTATAGTCAGTAGAATGTCTGTTGGGGACCATCACAATAAAGAGTTAGCAGATATTAAGCAGACAGTCTACTAAAACTCTAATGACAACTGTCATTATATGCATTTTATGCAAGTTGTCTGCTATTTATAAAATAAAATAAAAATAAAATGCATTATACTGCTATAAATCTCATTTATTTACATTTGGCCATATTAAAAACTGTACCAAATTGCAATTTTTTTCCTCAGTTTGAGCCTCTGATTGAGGTGTTTTTCCACCTATAGTAGCTCTATATTCTATCTATATCATATTATATGAGCCATAAAAGCCTGATATATAAAATATGATACTAAAAATATTTTTTTTTTTAGATTTTGTTTAAAAGTTCAATAAAGTGCTGGACTTTTAATGTGATCAACAGATTGAATACTTGAACAAGATCCACCCAGTAAAATCCGATCAAACGATCTCTGAAAATGACACGTACGGTCTCGTACCGTCACTTGTAGGCAGGTTGTGGAAGGTGGAGTAGGGTTTATGATGAGTGTGGAGGTGTTGCTGGTTGGTAGAGGAGTTCTGTTGCTTCTCTAGTGTTGGTGGAGGAGATGTAGCGGCCTTCAGCAGACTGATCCCTGGAGACAGCAAAGCTCCAGATAACCTAAGACAGAGAGTGAACGTTAACTATTAAGATTAATGGTGAAAGATAAGCAGGCCAAAAAACATACCATAAAATTTAATATGGAGTATACAACTTTTATTACAAGAGTCTTCTGAATGTTATTAAAAGGAACTTTAGAGCCTCACCCCATCTTACCTTTAACCATGCGAAAGATCTGAAAGTATTACCTCAGAAAAAGAGTCACATAGCCTTAAGTAAAACATTATTTATTTATTTTATTCATTTATTTTTTATTTACTCTAACATGCTTCATCCTATTCCAATTCTTATTATAATGGAAAGTCATGAGCCTGGTTTTGATTGAGTACAAGCCTGTTCTTCACTCCAGATGCCACTTCTCCATAACATGCCCCTGACTTACTGTACACTGTGATGGCTCTGGGGAAGTTATGATAGCTTGCTCATGCCTGCACACAATGGAACAAATAAAGGCTTTGTTAGTGCCATTAGATGCAGCTGTCACAAGCAAGTCTTCATATATGCAAAACCGAGTTTCAGCAAGACACGAAGTGCCAACCAATGGCCCTGTGAAGTCGTTCCTGCCCCCCTAAGTCAAGGCCCTCTGCCTTTAGTGCACACATCAAAGAGTCATATTCTGAATTTCAGAAATGAACAGAGAACAAAAACAAACTCAAAGAATCGCCTGTTTAAACAGAAGTATGACTAACAGATGCTCATCATGATACAGTTAAAGAAAGATATTATGAGGACATATACAGCTGTAATGTAAGACATGGAGGAACAGAGGTTTGCCTGTTTGGTTCTAATGATAGGCTATATGAGATCAGTATTTATAAATATGTTACTTAATTATTTAAAAAACCTTATGGAATAAATAAAAGTATATATACTAGTCTACTCCTGAACTGATCAAATTCACTTTTAGAAGATAAACACTACCGTTCAAAAGTCTGGGGTCAATAAGATTTTATTTTAAAGAAATGAATACTTTTATTCACCAATTACACAATAAATGTATCAAAAGTGACTGTAAAGACAGTGTAAAGACACTGTGAAAAACAATTGAAAAACAAAAAGAAATCTGAAAAAGATTTATTACAGTAACCACAAAAATATTAAGCAGCAAAACTGTTCTCAACATTGATAGTAATAATAAATCTTTCTTGAGCACCAAATCAGCATATTAGAATGATTTCTGAAGGATCACGTGACACTGAAGACTAATGATGTAATGATACTGAAAATTCAGCTTTGCATCACAGGAATAAATTAAATTTGAAAATGTATTAAAATAGAAAACAGTTATTTGGAATTGTAATAATATTTCACAATATTAGCTTACTGGGTTACGCTTTGATAACACTTTATTTTACAGTGTCCTTGTTACATGCTACTTACCATCGCAATAACAGTAAATTATGCATAATGACATGCAACTAACCCTCAACCAAACCCTAACCCTATAGTAGGCTAAGTACATGTTGTTAATTAACATTACTCAGTCATTAAATATTGAATTACACTGTAACAATGACACCTTAAAATAAAGTGTAACCGAAAACAAAAACATTAAACAAATCTAACCAACCCCAAACTTTGATCAGTATTGTACACATTAATATTTACAGTCTTCTTTATCAAGGAAAATGAACCTGATGATGATCGTCCTGCGCTACACCAATTTTTGTCCAATTAATTGCTCTCTATAATGAGAATGTCCCTCCCCTTAATATCATGTGCAAATGACAAGCAAGCAGCAAATTATGTTAATTGCTTTGACGTTAACGAAAGCATAGTGGCTATTTTAAAAGAAAAGGCACAGGCCTTTCGTCATGAGTGCACCTTTAAAGCATGTGCATTTAAACAGACACATAATAAATAGCATTTAAATTGTCTTTTTGTACTAGCCACAGATTTAAGACCTAGCATAGCGCTAATGTAGAATTTGGACTCCAATGACATTATTGGTTTTTATTTATGCTCCAGGCCTCATGTGGGAGTGATGTTTCCCATTGTTCATTTGCCCAGAATCTGATAAGGACTTCCTTGGCTGTTACATCTGTTAGACCATTATGTCGTTTTTCACTGTTAGCCAAATTCACATTCCAAGGACTTGGTTTCATCATAAGTGCATTAAAAAAAATTAATAATCCACAAATTGTTTTAACTGTGCTCGGATGTAACCCCATGAGTCACAGGGCTCTCCTCACACAGCCTCAAAGTCTGCACTAACATATTTCACAAGGCATGCAGCAAAGGAATTAGCGTTAGCGGGCTAGCTTGTGTTTGTATGCAGGAAAGCGCGGTTCCGATAGTCGCTGACGTGACGTGAGGTGCATGTGTTTCTGCGAGAGCACGGCGGCAGCGTTCCCCTAGGAGCTGCTGTCAGCACAAGCTCAGCAAACAGTTATACTGTTCATATTTTTACAAGCAGCCTCTATGTGCAGCTAAAGTGAATCATGCTATAATCACTGCCAGCTGTAGCTCGCTAAGGCTCCAGGAATGAGGGGAATCTTTCATATGCAGGATTAATATCTCCCTTCGGTATTTACCTTCACTGATCATCTGCTTTCACCTTTGCAGACTCGTTTTTTGACTATACCGCCTGTCTCTCACGTCATAAGAGCTTTATATGGCCGCTGACCTATGGATCATCCAAAGGTTCATGTTCACCAAAGTGATAGAAAAGCATTTGGCTTGCTCAAGTATAACAGTTAAAACTTCCCTATATCTAAATAAGGAAAGAAAAGTCCAACTGAGGTGGAGGATTGATGCTGTAAGACTTTTACATTGTTATAGCCTAAAAGATTTCTATTTCAAATAGATGCTGTTCTTTTGAACTTTCCTTTCATCAAAGAATTCTGAAAAAAAAATCTGAGTATTAGAATGATTTCTGAAGGATCATGTGACACTGAATACTGGAGTAATGATGCAATGATGCTGAAAATTCAGCATTGCCATCACAGGAATAACTTATATTAAAGGTGCATTGCGCAACTTTTCATGTTAAAAATACCTGTTTTTCTATCCTATACATCCTTAAAGAACTGCGTGATGGGCTGAATGAGCCCTTCTCTGCGCACTGAGATTGCCTCTATAATCCTGTACAGTAAAATATATAAGAGGGATTCGGGCTCGAATTTGAGACTGGGCGTGACGTCATGCGCGTTCACGCTCACCAGGCTATGTCTCGCAGGTTTGTGTATTCGCCAGCGCCGCCATTCTCCGCATCAGCGAAGACAACTCGTGCGTCAAAGGTAGAAGATGGATTCAAGAGACCGGCTTGTAGTCCATTCCAAACCCCAACGCAAACTCCACGTAAAGTAAAGAAAAGAAAAATTTTGTCTAGTGCCACCAAAAGGTCCAAATTGGAATCAGACAGGCGTCGGAATAAGACGAGAGTCAACCTCGGGAAGGCATTCAACAAATGGAGAGATCTCCGGTCTGCTCTTGGTCTCAAACGGGATCCTCAGTTGGCTTTTTTTCTTGATAAAACGGTAAGATATAGCCCAGTCTCTAATGTCTGATACGCAAATCTATGACAACAAATGACGATGCGTAGGCCTAAAATGTGTCATGCTTTAGCGTAAGCTAGATAAATGTACAATAAATGTAACTTATATTGTTCATGAACGTGTTTCCATAATAATACACTCATAAGTTGATACAGTAAACACATAAAACAGTTCAACATACATGGAGTGATGGAGATAGATGGAAACAAAAACCGAACTTTTCTACTACCCCTGTTTTCCCCTCACACATAAGTGTGTAATTTACTCAAATGCCTTTCCTTTCATATATTTAAAATGACTTGCAGATTTATAACTTTATTACCTCTGAAGACATTATGACTGTCAACACAAGATTTGTGCGGCTGATGCTCTTTTGGTTATGAACAGCTCGTGCAAGCGTGCGTGTGCGTGTGATCCATGAGCGTGCACATCTCTGGTTGCAGTTTCGCTTGTCGCCAGAGGGGGCATAGTTCTGCAAAAACTCAGAAACCTGCGCTATGCACCTTTAAATTAATATAAAAAACAGTGATTTTAAATTGTAATATTACTTCACATTACTTCTAGCTCACAGCGTTTGTATTGCAAAAACCTGCGTCTTATTACCAACTATTTGCAATAAAATTCAATCCGTTTTTATGCAGTGGTTTAGAGCATTTAAAGTCCACATATAATCAAAATTGAAGTTTTTTGGCTTTTAGTGTGAATATGTTAAGCTAGTGTGCTCCAAAACAATGACAAAAATCGCATTTAGTAGCATTCAAAACTTACAATCTCTCACTTCTGCCAAAATGGATCAATGATTTTGATGACATCACGCTGCACTTCAACTTCTCATCAGATTTTCTGTCCAATCAAATGCTCTCTAGAATCTAAAGCGCTCCGCCCCATACATTGCAAATCGATGCTGAAGCTGCGGCTAAAATAGGTCACTTGTTCACACATTTACCATTTTCTATGTGGTGAATGGCACATAGTGCAATATAGGGGATAGGGAACGATTCAGATAGTGTAAATATGCTTTCCATTGGGGCAAATGAAGTCTGGTTTTGTGTTAGTGTCACGCGAACCGCCGCAGTGCGCACACAGTCTGCTCCGGTCCAGAGACACGATAGCACAGAATTCAACATATGCGCGAGTCGGTGCAAACCACAAAACATATTGGACCTATTTGAATTCTACACAGAATTCTATATTTTAAAGCGATATGGAGGAGATTAGGAGGAAACTGTGGCTTTACAGAGCTCGACGGCTCTGGCCGAGCTGTGCTATAAAGGAAACGCTATTGGCTTTTTTTTTTAAAGGGGAGGGGCTGTTCGATATGTCTTCCTGTTTCATGGAAATTATGTCAACACATTGAATAATGCTGCGCGTTTCAAGGCACTTTAGTGGGCCTTTAAATAATTATAATTTTCAGCACAAACATGCCACTTTCCATGCAATTGAGGTTTAAAATAAAATTTAAAAACAAAAAAGAACAAAAAATTACAGTATAACCACATTCAC